GCGTTTCGGGCAGCTAGTCTCTTCTCGCTGTCTCCTCGGCCAAGACTCGAAGGTACGTATGTATCATACGGCGACAGGGTGGAAAACGCGACGTTGTATTACCTTATACATGTAGTTTCATTGTACACGAAGAAAGAGCTGAAGAAGGAGAGCTCCAAGAGCGAGGCCAGCCCTCAGTGCAGTGCAAAGTGAAACGGAACATCTCGGCGGGGTAGTAGAGGAGACGAGCTTCAGGCGAGCGCGAGGCGAATCAGACGCGGCGCGAATTTGACGGGAACGGAATTTCGCGAGAGTATCGCACAGCCGCCGCCCTCGGCGTATTGCGTATTGCGTAAATATGCCGGATCGGCGGATCCGACACATCCCCGCGGGAGCATTCGCGCACGCAACACACCCCGTGCGCGCGTTATCGGACATTTTGCTTTCTCCTTCTACCTGACCCCCGAGAGGAAAAGCGCCTTTGACCTTGGTCGCCATGGCGATTTCAAAGACGTACTAATTCCCGCGCGCTGCCACGTCACGGCGTTCGGGAGGGAGGTAGTTTTTCGTTAAAAACAAAGGGCTCCTCGCCTGGCGAAATCGAAAACGGGGCGAACGCGGCACGCGAGGAGGGCGCGACGCGCGTTGGGGCGTGAGATTAATAACGGTAATGTTTGCGGCGAACTCGCTGCGGATTTCGCGGTAGAAACGCACGCATTATCGCGATGCTCGCATGAGGCGAATCGATGGAAGCCAGTGGCCATCCGGTGGACGTCGTGAATTTGCTCGCCAACAAATTGCACCGCGCGACGATGCCGATAATTAGGCGCGTTCCTTTGTAGCCGCGCGCGCCGAAAGTGCCGAAGATGATGTTAGGCCACGTTGATCAATCCGCACGTTGTCCGCTTTCGCCGCGCGACCGTATCGTATTTATGGCTTTTCATCCAACATCCCGCTTCCGTTTCATTTCGCGAGCGGACGAGCGGCTCCCTCCGTCGTAATTGGAATTCAGCCAACGCGCCGATTTTTCCGATCGCCGCGCCGGCGGAACTCGCGTTTCTATCTCGATTTTTTTCACTCGACGAGCGACGTCCACGTCGCTTCGGTGAGGACGCTTCAACGGCGGCGGGAACAGTTCAAGTTCCCCGTTTTCGTTTTCACTAGCCAGCGCTGGGTAACGTCGTCACCCGCCACTTTCGCTCTCGTTCGAGTTTCAATGTCGTGGAACGGGGACGCTCTGCGACGCGCGCGATAACGCGCGCTGGAAAATCGCGGAGACACGACGATTTCTTTTTTCCACGACGGAAAGCACGGGGATTGCGATTTCGCGGACATTAATACAGACGCGGACACGCTCGCCGCATTTATCGTCGCGCGCAAGGGGGTGAGTAAACTCCCCTGGCGCCCTTTCTCGACACTCTCTCTCTACTTCCGCACAATTTAACGATTAAATATTATTCGCATGATTTTCGCACACGCGCGCGGCGCGGCGGTGATAACAAGATAATGCGGCCGTGTAATTGGGGGGGTAGAGGGGGGCGGGGACGGTCCGCGTTAATCTCATGGGAAGTTGATTTCGCTGCAAAATTATTTCACGCGCGTATCGCGAGGCAAATTCTTGCGAACGCGTTACGAGTTAATTTAGAGCGTGCTGATGAGTCTGCAAAATCTGTTTCCTATCGTACGCGCGCGAGTTGGGGATTCCGGGGGAAATAACGTTTGACTGTTTCGAGGAACAGACGTAGCTCTCTTGTTTTGTCGTAGCTCTTGCTTAAATACTTCAACGTACCGCTGGACGATCGAAATTCTGGCCAAGCTCGGGTGCCACATAAATATCTGAGGGCTATACTAATCAATGATGTTACGTAGCGAATCTCGGGGTTGGATCGATTTTGTCTCATCTATAAGAGGCGAATGTTCCTGCGACGATATATTATTTATCGCGCGAAAAATCATCAACTACCTCTTTATTCCTCTGAAATGAATAAAAACAGGAAACACACTCGAATAAATCAGAGTTAAATCAAAGTAGAGTAATGCGCAAAAATACACGGTGATTAATTGTATTTGTAACAATCGTGACGATCGTGTTTAGAGAATGACGCTTTAACGAAAACTTTCATCAATTAGCAGTCCAAGTTTACGCAGTAAAAATATCAGAATGAATATTTGAGCCAGGTTCTTAAAATATCGGCAATTAAAAGTAAACTTTGTTCCCCAGCGATACGATACTGCGAATACAAACTGTAATCTCATATTCCTTAATTAATTAATTTCAGTTGACTTTTCATGGAGTTTTAATTTAAAGTATTCAATCGAAAAGGCGAGTATGCCATGTTGAAAAGCTGCAACGAATGACGACATCCTTTCGACATATTCAGCGGAAAGTTCGACCATAAGCTTCCGAGGAAATCTATCGTTAAAAAGTAATGCGATAGGAATAGGAGACTCTTTATGATTCGAACAGCGTACGAGGTGACATTTGTCGCGATCGCAAAATAAATTTCTGTCAACAAGACGTGGCCTAGCAGTCAATCGGTCGGTCGGTCTGGTGTGTACAGGAAACCGGCGTGGATTTGTGCGCACAGCAGCTGTTTTCGTTACAAAGCTCGTCTAGAGAGAAGCAAACTGATCACGGCACCGCGCTGTCAACGCGGTTACAAGGTGAGAGCGACAACGGGAGACAGCCGTTGATGGCAGCCAAGCGAGCTTTTCACGCGTCTATCGATTTTCGAATTTCGAATGATGACGTAACTTTATCGTCGCTTTCGCGTTAATCGTCCTCCGTTGTGATCTGAGAACAGGAAAATCAGATGGAGAGAGGGAGAGAGAGGGAGAGAGAGGGAGAGAGAGAGAGAGAGAGAGAGAGAGAGAATTATGTGTGCTTGTGTGCTCACGTGTAATCAATCGACGAGAATCAGTCGTGTACGGACAAAAATAATGGCGGAATTAAATGGGGAGATTCGCTGTCCTTGAGACAATCGTGCTGAATTTTAGATTCTTTGACGACGGATGCGTCGCGGAGCGCAATGGACTCCGTCGACGATCCCAAGTGGATCCGTACGGTTCGTTTAGACCGCGGTATGTCTGTACGAATGGAGCCGCGATAACCGCACGTGCGTGCAAGTACACGTGTTCGGATGCATGCACGTGCGTTTGCACGCCGTATTATCCGAGGTTATCGATTTCCCGAAGATCCCAGCGATACGACAGACAGACAGACAGCCAGCCAGCCAGCCAGCCAGCCAGCTGGACAGACAGACATACAGACAGACAGACAGACATTTCTTGGCCTTACTGTTTCTTCCTGTTTCGCGGAGGAAGCGTCGAACATAATCGCACTCGTAACGAGAAGCGCCGCGTTACAATGTTAAATTTAACAAAAGAGATTTTCACTGACATCTTGTCAACGTCTCGTCGTATAACTTCTGTTTCACACCAATTTCTATTTCAGACAAGCAGCGCGAGCGTCTCACCATGAGTTTCGAGAAGAGTTACAACTCCAGCTCAAGTCTCTACGACTTCTACAACCCGATAAGCCGGCTGATACCGGAGATTTCCATTGACCAAATTTACCAGAGAACTGAACAGAAAGCAAATCGTTCCTTCGCGCCGGTAATTAAGAAGCTGCCTTTTTCCCCGCGCGCGCTACGTGTCCGTGATATCTCGCTTGTAAACATCCTAGTGAACGCGCGAGTGAACGAGCGGCGGGGACCAGACGAAAACTCGGCGAGGAAGACTCTGTTAGAGCAACCGACAAAACATTCGGCTGCCTTGAAACTCGCGGTTGGACCAACCGCAAACAATCGACCGACGAGTAGAAAGGCAAGAGGTCTTTCTGTCTTCCTGCAAGACCGGACTTTCGTCTGATCCTCGGGACCAATAGATAATTCAGTTACACCGACGCGGATGCGGCCATTTCACGGCAATCGAATCGAACAAATAGGCCAACGGTCATTCTTCCAGATCTCGAGCAGATCGCCGAGCAGATCAGGGGCCAGCTCGTCGGGCTCATCAGTTGCCCATACATCGAGTCTTCCGACCGCCAGTCCACCGTATCTGTCGCACAGCAACCCGTCGGACTTTTCGCGCACAAGTCCGTCTAGTCTGTCCGGCACTAGTCCACAACGCTTCTCCAACGACAGTCCGTCGCGTTTCTCGCCTGCCAGTCCGGTCCAAGGCCTGTCGTCCGTCAGTCCGCCGTACCTTGCGCGCAACAGTCCACCGGACTTCTCCAGCGTCGGTACAACCCGCTTCTCGACCGACAGCCCGATAGAACTGTCGACTGTTAGTCCGCCGTACCTATCCCATGCAAGCCCACCGGGTATTTCACGCGGCAGTCCACCGAGCCTCTCGTGCGCCAGTCCGTTGGATCTTCAGCATGACAATCCGTTGAACTTCTCAAGCGCACTCAACATTACAAACAGCAACAAGCTGGTCTCCTCGTCCAATGGCAATATAACGGACGGCCAGTCGGTGGACTCGAGATATCTGAATCTTGCGGTGGCTTCCTCGGAGATGGAGGCCAACAGATGCAACAGGATGGTGCGATCTTACGACAGCAGCAACTCTGGACATGGATCGGTAAAGTTGCCTATGTTCACACAGTCGTTTGCAGTCTCTGTCGTGAACGTATTTCAATTACCTGCTCGTGGACGCATCTAGGTAGTCGAGGCAACATCTCTCACGATAGTATTTTCTTTAAGACGGGAAAGATAGATTTAAAATGAAGGTGGTTTTCAGCCGGTTGTAGCCGGGAAGTTAATTGGATTAATTCGAAGGATAAATTTCAAGAGGGACCGGACTCGTGTGTTTACCGTTCAATGTTGTCATTCTTTCGATAGCTTTTTCTGCCTCGTGCCTCACAAGGGTGCGACCGTTATTAGCTTTATATTTGTGTATTCCTTTGGACATGTGTACATGATATTCGATAAACACATGTTCAGAGAATACATTTATACGAGAGAACATATTGAGAGAATTCTGAAAGAATTTGCGAGAAACAGAGATTGCTGAAACTAATACTAAGGTCCTAAAATCCGTCTCGATAATTCAAATATAAAAATCTCAATATATATATCTATATATATATATATATATATACCTTTTTTTGCATTTGAATTATTATGTCGATTATTATATTTTATATTATATATACTATTATAATATCTAAAAATCTGAGAAGACTGTTCTGACACAAGAGAGAAAAAACAACTGATGTTCGTTGGAGAATGTAACAAAGAAAAGACGAAGAGAGATAAGAGAAGATTTAACTGACAAATTGTTTAATACAGAATGGATATTCATCTCCCTTCGCGACATCGGCGAGCATACTCAACCGCGAAGCCATTATCCCGACGGATCAGATTGACATACCCAGTACATCATCGGCGTGGCACATGGTCAACGTTCCGCCGGCCAGACCGCCGTCTCACTGCTCGCGAAATATCCACGACGTCACTCAGCAACGTTACTGTCTCACTTGCAGCCAGCCATACTGCAAAGACTGCTGCATGGATTATCACGAGAACCACGCGCATGAAGATTTCATGAAGTACCTCCAGCTCACTGTGGATCAAGGCACGGACACATTGAGAAATGCCCGCACGACGCTGAACATGCTCCAGACTGACTTGGAAGACGTGCAGGTGAGCGAAATAATACATTTGCCGAGTCTTCCTCGAGACACGACCATTGCACTCTCTTTCTCACCGTTATATTCGTCCGTTATATTCGTCTGATTTGAAAGGCCGGAAATATACATATACGTTGTAATTTAATTTACGTATACTTTATCTTATCTCGCAAAATTCTTCTGAAAGTTTCGATATCGCAAAATAACGAAATAAAATAATGCCTGCGAGAGACGTTATTCCAACGCAAAGGGTTGATTCAAAATTTACCAGTCGCACCAGTGTCATTCAATATATATATATATATATATATATGCAGTTTGTATTCATGAAGAGATATGACGATCTTGATCTTCTTTTCTCGAATAAAGCAATTGAACTATTAATTATTAATTTGCGTACAACACGGCGTTTTTCTGCATCCGTCTAGTTGGACGCTGAGATGCTGGATCAAAAGGCCAGACAGGCTGCCGCCAATGTGATGAGCTGCATACGAAGGCACATTTCTGCCCTAGAAGCCAGAGAGAAGGAACTATTGAACAGCATTGAGAGAGCGCGAGTGGTGAAGTTCGACTCTCTGAAGATGAAAGATGAGCAACTGAGAAACGACAAGACACGCCTGACGAAAGTCACTTATAAGCTTTGCAACGTTCTGGACTCGTGCGACCTTTCGAGCAACCCGAAGGAGCTTCTGGCGATCAAGGATATGACGATGGCCGAGGTAACAATCGATTTTCTCGCACGTCTCTCGTTCGTGTGTCGTATCTCGCTTTACATTTTACACTCCCGATCTCTAATTAACGCAAAGGGTGTTCGCATCGCCCACGGACTTTTATTTTTACGCGCGTTTTACCTTTGGTAACAACATTCGCGAACATTCCCGCGAGATTCGCGACGGTATTCGCGTCAGTGGTCAGCGTCAGTGGTACGTCCATACACCTCTGACAGTCCTCTGACAGTCTTTTTTCCGCGTTTTGCTTCATCGCCCACGCCTTGACTCGTCGTCTCCGGTTCCATTCTTCGGAATTCGCGCGTATCACATTCTCATTGAAATACACACGAAAATATATATATGTACTTTGTATGATGATGCAAGATGTTCCAGATCAAACAGAATCGGCGGTATCGGTCCACCCGGGAAGAGAGTTGGATCTCGTTTACGTCCCTGGGGAACGCCCTGATGCACGAAATCGCCAATCTGGGCAATATCCAGACGAGCAATCCGGGCCCGATCGGAGAGGGACGCGCGATTTGCGGCAACAACTCGTCGCACTTGTACTTACCGTACCCCCCAAAGATACCCAAGGAGATCGGTCGCGGTCGTCCGGTACCGGGCAACAGCTTCCCCGTAGTGGTCGGGGAGTCCGCTTACAACAGCGTGGTGCAGATGATCGGCGACAACAGCGACGTCTCCGACAACCTCTGTCGTCCGTGGGGTATCACTTGCGACAATAGAGGTCACATCATAGTCGCCGACAGATCCAACAATCGGATACAGATCTACCGTGAGGACGGTACGTTCGTCATGAGATTCGGATCCCAAGGGACCGGGCAGGGTCAGTTTGATCGTCCGGCCGGAATCGCCGTCGACAGCAGACAACGCATTATCATTGCCGATAAAGATAATCATCGCATTCAGGTGAGACTAGCTTGCGAGTACCGTGATTGCTTCAGTATTCATAAGCTACTATACTCTGTCAGTAGATTCAGTCGTATCTTTGCTGTCAAGCTGTTGACAGCAACAAATTGGCAGTGGACACTGCTAAAAGGTTTAGGTAGCTGTATGTGGGTTGCTGACAAAGAGTCTATCATTTCAGATTCTCCAAATGGACGGCACGTTCGTAAACAGCTTCGGCCAAAAGGGCCACGAGAACGGCCAGTTTAATTATCCCTGGGACGTGGCGGTGAACTCGGAGTGCCGTATCGCGGTCTCGGACACCAGGAACCACCGGGTGCAGCTGTTCAGTCCCGACGGCGTGTTCCTGTGTAAGTACGGCTATGAGAACACGCCGAACATGTGGAAGTACTTCGACTCGCCGCGCGGCGTCTGCTTCACGCCCGACGGCAGTCTCATCGTCAGCGACTTCAACAACCACACGCTGGTGTCCATCGACTCGCGGTTCTCGAGCGCGCGCACGTTGACCTGCGAGGCCGTCGACAACAGCAACAAGCCGTTCCTGCGGCCCCAAGGCGTGGTCATCGACGACAAGGGCAACATCATCATCGCCGACTCTCGCAATCATCGTATACAGGTGTTCAACTCGAATGGCAGATTCCTGTGGAAGTACGGCGTCCATGGCACAGGCATGAAGGAGATGGACCGGCCAGCCGACATCGCCCTCTTGCCCGACGGCAAGATCGCGATCGTCGATTTCGGAAACAACCGCGTGCTGGTGTTGGACCGCGTGATCGAATCCGCGGAGTCTATCTAGAAAACGAGGACGTCACTCGCCGGGACTAAGTGTGACGCACCTCAGCGATCTTCGCACATTTCTTGCATTTATACAGGCGAGCGACAGAATTTTCGATCGTCCACTCGTCCTTTTATCTCACTGCATAGAATCGTCACGTTACAATCGTGCAATTCTGGCGCATTTGACGATTCGTACTAGTCTACTAGTCCCTGATATGTGGACATTGAGAATCAAATTGTTGACAAAGAAACAGTCTGCACGTACGATGTTTCTTCTGTTAGATAACTGTTTTAATTACTGTTGCATACTTACCCTCAGTTTTAATCGGAAAAAAAAAAAAATTACGTCGATCCTCGCGGGAGTAATGTGCAACTTGCGTCTTCGCCGCAACGTTCTTTACCTCCGCGTTCAGCGAGGTACTTTTTGCCTAAACAGCACAAATAGTCTAAAGCATGTTTTAAAGATATCGTAAAAACATTCGTGAGAAACATTTGTGCTGCCTGCAGGTGTAAAAATTTCATCTGACGCAAAACTACAAGCCGATTGTGTGTAGATAATTCTCTTCTCTTCTCGACAGATGTGACAAACACCAATTCTTTCTCGGTTGAAGACGAGAGCTACATAATACCGCTGCGACGGATCATTAAGTAATTTGTTTTATTATAATTGTACATGCATATATTCGGTGCAAAATGGACGCATAAAATGCGCATGTAGTTTTGATGTTAGCATGGCGTTCACGCTATTCGTCTCCGTTACGATTTAAAAGCCAGAAAATCGGAGAGTAATGACATAGAGAGCAAGAATCGTGCAAGTGCTACACATTTTGTGTAATGAATTGACAAAATCAGTCGGCACATCGTCGAGTAAAATGATGGCAAGATTAGTAGTATATAACGAAATATGGATAAATTTTAACACATCCATAAGAAGATTTTTCTTCAATTTTTATATTAACCTTTTACTTATTATTGTTTAATTATTGTATCTGAATTGTATTAATATTAATTCTTTTGTTAATCAGTGTAAAAAGAAAAGACAAGTTTGAAAATATTTTACGACCGAAGAGCAGTGATCAAGATTACTCTAACATTTTTCCAATCCGTGGTCTGCAGACTTTAAGATATAGTACGTACTTCGTGGTACATTGTGTCTCTGAAATATATTTTGGACGTTTTTATCGTGATAAACATCTTGATGTTTGCGGCTCATCACATCTTATTAAATACTTTAGAATTGCATTCCTTTTAGCGATTAATTTTCTACCGCACAACTTGTTAATTACCTCTCACTTTCAATGTTGAACCTTTTGTGTACTTGAAACACTTGTAACATTACTAAACTGTCAGATACGGTATTCAAGTTGCAATGCAATATGTGTGACGTATACTATTAACGATCTCTTCCAATGAATCGTATAGCGTGTAAGAATTTGTTTTAAATACTGGAGCGTGTATATGTATAGTTTCTACTCAGTTACATCTAAGTTTGATTCTTAGTTAACTTACTTCTATGTGTAAACTAATTGTTACGGCAATTACCTAGTAATGTTAGACATTAACGTAAGTTAATCGTTACTATAGTTGAAATGTAAGCATCAGTACAAAGTGAGAGAGAGAGAGAGAGAGAGAGAGAGAGAGAGAGAGAGAGAGAGAGAGAGAGAGAGAGAGAGACAGAGCGAGTTAGAGAGAGGCGAGTTGTAAGAAAAAAAAAAAAAGAGTGAAAAATTGCTCGTTAAGACGACATAGAAAGATTGCTGGTGGTTTTTCCAAGTTGATTGACGAAATCCAGTTAGAATGCTGATTGAATTAACGTATTCGTGACTTGCGCGCGAGAACGCAGATCAAATCGTGCGTGTATCGATAGAGGGAAAGAAAGATTTTTAATGCGATTGTGAAAGAGACGGTACGTGTTTCCGTATTATAAGACGCCGTGTATATCTTATAAACGGTCCACCAACCCTTTCGGATCCGCTGCTAATTCTTGCGACGTTTCTTCGGCATCTCTCCTATACGTGAGAATCCGTGGTGCTGGAACGGCCAACGTTGTATCTGCAGATGCAAAAAGATAGTTTTCTCCTTCTACCTCTTAATCGTGACATTGGTCGTTTCAGCTGCCGGATGTGACTATTTCGCGCTAAAAAAACTTTTCTCTGTGTATAGCTTAAACTTATTATTTAATAATGCAGAATAGAGAAGACGCGATGTGTGCGTGTGTGTCTCTTTTTAGAGAAGGTAGAAAGAGAGATATATAGATACGTATATATTTTAACGGGAGAAACGCGCACGCCTGCGAGCCTCACCGCATGAAGATATGAGAGCACTTTTTTACAAATGTTCTACGCGCGAGAAATAATTGGAATATTGCTGTATCTCGTGAAGTGGTGACAAAACGTGAGTGACAGTACCATTACCTCATGAGAAAGTGACACGAATGCCGCGTATTAGTATTTAATGCAACGCACATTTGTGTAGCGCCAACTTTCGGCTGTGTTAAACACATATAACGAAGTCACACGAAAAGAAAAAAAGAGAGAAAGACGAAAAAAAAAAAGAAAAGACAAAAAAGGAACAATACAGAGAATACCCCACCTCACGATATATCACTATCGAGAAGAGATCTCGCGGCGATATTTTTTTAGACGAAAAACGGAAGTGCTTGTATTTTCACGTGACGGGATCCGGAAGGGATTGTGTGTGCGACCTCCTCCTTCAAACGATCTTTCATAAGTGTGATTAGCGAGATGAGCAAAAAAAAAAACTTTCTACATATATTAGACGATGTATATTCTATTACATATTACGTCTATTACATGAAATGTTAAATGAAAAAAAGAAAGAAATCAACGACAGTTCGCGTCGCGGTGGCCCCTGGGATCGTTGAGGTCGTGCGCGCGCTCGCGGTCGACTTCGGTTCCATCAGCAGAAGAACGACGTTCAATGTTGTTTTCCGTCGCTCGTCATTTCACACGCCGCGCGGACGCCGCTCGGCAGGGAGTTTTAAGTAAATTTTATATACGCGCGCTAACGGCTGATTATGATCAATCGAGTCTGTTTGAGAAATGGACGAGTTCACGCTTCTTTCCGCACGGGTATCTCGCTAATGGGATATTGTTGAGAAATAGAAAGGTAGGGAGAGAGAGAGGGGGAGAGAGTAAACGAGGACACGACGAAAAGAGAGACGGAAAGTGCCAAAAGTAAAGATCAAAAGTTTAAACTAAAAACGAAAAAAAAAAAAGAGAAAAGAAGAGAAAAAGAAAAAAGACACGCACTTACGCGGGCGGGACGACACTGACAAAGAGTGTCCTCTGCGTTTTCGTTTTGCATATCATACACTTGCTCATACACGTGGTACTACGCAGAGTCTTCTACGGTATTTATTAGGCTTTACGTGAGCGCGGAAATATCTTCGGAGAACCAACACTACTTTTCGGCAATATCGTTGGCACTTTCTTCGTTTATGTCGAGTCTTCAGGTCATGTTAAATCGTCGGTAACGCACGCGCTTCCTTTATGCGAACGGACAAGTATCTTTGTATCAATCGACGACGACGCATTTCGGGGTCGTGAATGTAATGTAACAAGGACGGCACCTCGACGAACATGTGGCCAGAGAGAGGCGAACATGTTGACTGAAGTAATTAGCCAACTTCTCCTAACACGATTCGTATGAATAATGTGTAGTCCGGGATATTTCCCGCGTGAATCGATTTTCTCTCCAACGACGAGACCTTCCTGCGCGAAGGCATCACGTACGTCCCCCGTTGAGTGAGATCTTTACACATGCGTATTGTTCGTTTGAACGATCCTTGATTTGTTGAATTTCCCCTCTTATGTAACTTCCCACTCGCGTTTGACTTACGTTCGACTGATCATCATTACTACGTAAGGTGACCCGGCTGATTTGGCCGGCGAGTTCGTTTTTTTCTGCGTTTCGCATTTTTTCGCGCGTGTGCGAGGTGATGACTTGTGCAGAGGCTTAAACAGCGTGGATCGTGCGAGAATCAAAGGCGCCACGTGCAGGCGCTCGAGCGACAAAGGAAACGCACAATTATCCGCAGCGTTTATCGACAATTTTTTCCATTTGAAAGTTTATAAAAGTTCTCTTGTTTAATAACAATGCAGTGCCAAACTATGTATAATCTATGAGAAAAATAAAAACATATATATATATATATACACACACATAGAGATTAAAAAAATGCGCATGCGACGGATGAGACTTTCAATACCGATGGAAGAGTCGAGAATTCTTCTCTCCTAGAATTACAATCGCAATGTTCCCGAATAACGATCCGCTGAGTACAATCGCAGACGCAACTACGAGATCACAAGGGTGAAATGAATTTCAGGCGGGGGAGCGCGACGTGAGAGAACTCTCCGGCGAAATGTAACAAGTTGCGAGTGTTTTGCATACGCGAGAACGTGTTCTGCGAAGGCCGTTCGTCTCTTTGCACGTTGCCGTCGCCCGCATTAGCATCGCGTCAGTCACATGAGCGGGTATGTAAGCGGAACGGATAACACAACGCGAAGATCATCGCGCTGCCTCGCCCAAGCCGAGAGGAGCGACCGTGGCGCGACTTGTCTCTCTTTTTCTCTCTCTCTCTCTCTCTCTCTCTCTCCACGCCTGTTATTTATTTCCGCGCACACCCTGCCGATGGCCGGTCGTATATCGTCAACGGGCGGCTGCGCTCCGCACACATGCAAATAAACGCGACGTAAGTCGATTGCAACTCGAGCTATCTGTGTCAGGACAACGCTGCGCAACGGTGCGGAGGAGGGGGGGGAGGGAAGGTCGTAATTTTAACATCACGCGAACGTCTGTCACGTGCCAGCGTGTATTTAAATTAAGTCTCATTTATTTCGCATAATCTTACGTATCTTTACACACAGCTCGAGCTAATCTACGCGAAAGGACGTCGCGGAACATTGAGGATTCTAGTTCACCCAGGAGCGCCGCGCGCGCGCGCGCGGACGCTCGTGTCGGCTCAGGTCGGCGGGCGACATGCTTGCAAGGTGCGCCGGAAAGTCGCGCGATGCCCCCGACTCTCCCGAGAACACGACACTTGCTGCGCGTCCGCGTGTACGACGTCGACCGAGGGCTCGCCATTATTCCGTACAAACTCACCGACGACTGTCGATTCGGTGAATGTCGTTCGCGCAGATGTACAATCGTGTCATAAGATGGCTGCGCGAGGGACGATTCGTGTGTGGAGCCGACAGGTGTCGGCGAACGTGTACAAGGGGATACAATTCCAGGAAGATAGAAGCTTAACGACGGACGCGACGGTATAAAAAACACGCAGGATCAAACGAGTAATAAGGGCCAAGGACATTTGGCAAGCGAATCTCGAAGGATCGCGCGCGGTGCAGCGGGCTCGGATCGATTAAGGTCGCTCGCCCCTGGCGGAGCGAGGAAGTCTCGGAGGAATCTTAATCCGCCCAAACGGACGCGATTATCAATTAATCAAAGGCCCCTTCGAGCGCTATCACAAGTGGAGAGGAGTGCGCGTCGAGCTGAAATCAGCTCGCTCTCTCTCCCTGTCGCTCGCTCGCGGCAATCGAGAGTCTCTCCTTGTCCAGAGTGCGCGACGCGCACGTACGCGGAACGTCGTTGTCGCAAATTGGCAAATCGACACTCTTTCCCCGGCGACACCGTGAAGCCGTGATTGCCGCATCGTGCATGCACACGCGAAGCGAACTCGAGTCGACTCGACTCGATCATAGGTCCAATCGGTCGCCAAAGCGCGCCGCAGCGCGCAGTGTCTGAGATCGCGAAGTGTCTCGCGAATGGCTCCTTGAGCGACGGCTGACGAGAAGCGATCTAGTTTCCCCCGCACAGTCGCGTGGACAGCATCGTTCGCGCGATCGCGACTTCGCAAGCTACCTCGCAGGTCGGCTGCGATCGTCAACCTCAATTGCGACTCGACGAGAGAAAAAGGGCAAGCATAGATCGCGATCTCGAATGGCTCTTCGAGCGGTGTCTCGCAGGTACTTTCGCTGGGATCACTATATAATTCGCGATCGCGGGACGTCATTCTATCGACCACCGGTCCTCTCCGGTGTTGTCGGGCTAACAAAACGCTCGAGATTACGGCGTCATCGTCGTTGTCTCGGTGTCCACATTGGTCCCGAGACTTTCTCTCGCGTTCTGAAGCAACCGGCGCCCGGGACATGTTAGGGACGTTGATACGACCGGGACCGCCTGGTGTGTTTCTTCCTCTCGGTGACGATACGTCAAACGGCCCCGTACTCCTCGCTCGACGGCGACTCGTCGCTGGGTGACGGCCTGGGTGGTCTGGGTGGTCGCGGTGGTCGATGATGGTGCAGCGTGGGCGCTGGCCGCCTCGGCGGCGGCGGCGGATGCGCTCCGTACGACGTGTCGTCCCCTTCCTCGCTGCTGGGGGACGGCGAGGGCGCCCGGTCCTCCTGCTCCTGCAGCAGTTGCCGGAACTCTTGGATCGACTCGTTCAGGGACCACAGCTGGGACAGTAGCGAGAGGTCGAGCTGCCGCAGGCCAAACTGTACAAAAGCGACAACAATTACAATAGTTTCTCACACGCGTGTGGTCGCGGCTTTGTCGCATCGATACGTCGACAGGATTTAGAAATTACAGAACAGACCTGCTGGGAATTGCTGCTACGCGAAATTAAATTTCATTTTGCTCCTCCTTTCTTCCTTGAGAACATTGCGAGATTACGAAAGCCTCGACATTTCCAATCCAAAGTGATTCACGGCTCGTTTATAATCATTACACATGATTTACTCCAGCTTTTGTTCGAGAGAGGAACAGGCAGATCAATGCTTACACGTCCCGACGTCATTAAAGATTCCACAGTCGTCGCGGCTGTCCTGCCTTGCGCGACTCATGACATTTTTCTGCAGCATTCCTCATCCGTTGGCCGCCGCGAAATTTCGCGCAGGGCTCGTTATGCACCAAGACGAATCGCGAGATACCGCGCGAGGCGCTCGAGTTCAGGCGCGCGCGTTCACTTTTACCATTTCACCATACGGTCGCCAAGGTAAAATATTACGTGGTGATTTACGGAGCGAAACAACGCATTTCCAAGCGACCCGGCGGCCGGCCGCCGGCTGGCCGCCGTGGGAAAGAGGTAGAAGAGGGAGTCGCGTAGGAGAGACGCGAAATGAGAATGGAATGAGAGACGACGGCGGTGGAAAGTGCGCGATGAAGGAGGAACGGCGGGGCCGGGCGCAAAGGACGACGGGGCAGAAGAGAGAACGAAGGTGAAAGAGAGCGACCGAGGAAAAGGGGGGTGTCGTCGGGAGGGGAGTCACGCCTGAGGGAATGCAGCGTGGGAGCGGCTGTGCCAGTTCGCTTCGTGTCTGGATTGACTATTAAATTATTAGCCCAACTTAGGTACGAGCGCTAGCTCGCGCGAACGGCGAGAGGTTCAACGAGAACGGATCGTCACGAGAGAGGCCGGCTCTCCTAGGAGAAATCCTACACGAAGTCCCGTTATGCTGTTCATTTCAGATAGGTGTACGAAGGTTGCCGAGTGGATATGTGAAGACACACGACGATGACGACGACGACGACGACGACGACGACGACGACAACGACGACGGTGCCATAGCGATGCGCGCCGCGGCGCGATAATAATCGCTCGGCAATTCATAAAAGCGACTGGGTCAGCGGAATACTCGAAGACTCTCGCGTCGCGTGAAATAATCGTCCGAGAGGTGGTCGCGCGAGACGTTACGTAAGGAGACGTCGTGCTATAAACGACACCGTGGACGATTCTCCGTGAGCGAAGTGAGCACTCTTACGCAGTTAGATATATTAGCGCGATATCTGGCCAGTCGCGATAAAAATCACTCCGTTGGTGCATCTTTCAAGGACCACACGAGAACTCGCTTGTACGAGCAGGAAGAGGTTCCTCTGTCTCGGAGGGGAGGTTTCTTCTGCTCGGCCAATCGCTCTGAGTTATCTCTCAACCGAGTCTTAATCTGCTGTTCTCTGCAGTGCGATAATAGAAATATCAGTCGTCGTCGCTGAGTTTTCGTCTGGTCCCCTCATACGGTCGAACGGCCTGAAGTCTCTTCTTCCGCACACGAGTCGGCAACGGACACGCGAAGTCTGTCGGTGCTGCGGACGCGTAATTAGATGCTCATTACATAGCGGGGCTTCCCGAATCAACTTCACAGGCTGTGAACACTCTCTGGGAATTGGATAGATTAGCGCGAAGTGTCTCAAGTCGCCAGTCGAGAATGCGAGAATAAAGCTGCAACGAGAACACGTGAGGCTCGTTGATGCGGCGGACGCGTAACGTAATGCCTGTTAAAAAGAGGAGCTTCTGCACGGCGAGTCTTTTCTTTCTCGTGCGCGACATCCCGATCTGCCCCGCCGCTTATGATCCCATGCATAAAACACGTGCTCATCGAGAGCTGGGCGATTTATTCGCGCGCGATCGCGGCCTCGAGGTAACGGGTCGGCCGGGTCGCCTAAACAGACGCGGAAGAATCGAGGGAAGAGGACGGAGGACGCGGCCGGACTGAGTGGAAAACGCCGACGGTTCATAAAACGTGCTCGGAATGACGAGGACGCGACGAAAATATCGAGGATAAGGAGTGGCGAGAATCGAAGCTCACGTCGAGGCGCGGCGACAGCCGCAACTAGCAATTCCGTGATACGGAAGGTAGAAGAAATCGAAAACGCAAGATGCAAGAAAAGTCTGAGATGGACAGAGCGCGACAAGCGATGAGAAGGGACAAGGGAAAAATGAAGAGAAAAAGGCGAGATGTGCGTGGGGAGGGAGAATAACGGGCATAGGAGATGGAGAGAAGATTAATGGAGAAAGGTGCGGGTCGTATGTATGTGTGTGTGTGTGTGTGTGTGTGTGCAAAATGTGCGCGAGAAAACACGAAATGTCAGGTGCAAAGAATTCAAATGTCAGGTACGAAGAGGGTAATCACATGTGACGAGGTAATAAGGAGCGGGTAACTAATGCTGAACCGGTGCAGAACTTGTTCAGGGATGTCACGATCGATTGCAGCGGAAATCTCTCGATAGCCTGTCTTTTCCTCCGCGAATCGCGCGCGTTATTAGCCGCGGACGCGTGGAATTTTCCTGCAGGCTCGTAAATACGTTTCGCGCGCGCCGCACGCCGCACGGATGACTAATAGTTTCTATTAGACGTAATGGCAGCCGCTAAAGGATGCACAATTTCAAACTACTTTGAACAGCATCGGTGACTCGACGGCCGCGTCGCGGACAACGTCGCTGCCGCGCCTCGTGAAACGCCTACGAATGCTTCCGTGTGCTGGCGGTCGTTCTTGAAGGAACCTCGGTTCCTGTGGCTTCTCGTCGCTCGTACGGATAATCTAGTCCGCTTAAAGTTTGGAGTTTTATCGCACCGTTAAGAGCTGGAGTAAATCATGACCGTGTCCTTCAAGCAGGGCGTTAAATCGCACGGAGAAAGACGGAATACGTAGATCACAGGTAGATCGTTGAATACGCGACTAATATACGCAGGAGAAGAACGTCACGCATTCAAGGATCAGTCAAGGATCCGAGTATCCTTGCGAGCTCATTGGCCACGCGGCGACTGTACTTTGCAGACGGAACGAGCAGCGAGGAATGCGTTTCTTCGATCAAAGTAACGAGACGATGCCTGTTCATAAAGGAGAGAGAGAAAGAGAAAGAGAGAGAGAGAGAGAGAGAGAGAGAGAGAGAAAGAAAGATTCGAGCGATTCCTCGATGAATACCATTTCTCTCCTGAGCACCGCCAGCTGAGTGTCCAGGGTGGTGAGTTGCCTGGCAGGTGGCGACGGCCTCGACGACGACTGCACCGACGTTTTACCGCCTCTCTGGGATTTACTGGACGACCTCGTGGGCGGTGGAGGCGGCTCTCCGCTCTCGCCACGTCCGCCGCTCAGGTTGAAGCCGCTCAGACTCCTCGGTAACGGAGGTAATCCTTGCAGGGAAGACATCGCGATCCTTTCTTGTATGCTGTGCAACAGATCGTAAAGATACTGGTCTTAATAACGAACTTCACTTGAGGCTTCACTTTGGCGAGCCAGCGACTTCTTAACGACTGAATAAATTTCTCAACCATTTTCCTTCTCATCTTTTACGCGTGAAATGCTTAGTCATTAAGTATGCGCTCACTTGCGATAAATATCGATACCCAAGTGATATGTAAATATATAAATTTATACACTGATAGAAAAATATAGTTGAATTAACTATAATCTCTATATTTTATAGTTGATTTTGGCATCAACCATATTTTTATAGTTCGTGGAACCTGCAAAATACAGTAAAATAAACACAAATATATAGTCAATAATTGTCTTAAATAATTGTTGTAGTTACTTTTACCACATATGTGGTAATTTCTCATTCACAAATATAGTGGGATTTAATATTCATATAGTTACATCTGTCATCATTTAGCAAATATTTCGGTAATATTGACTATATAAAAGAGTTACTTTACCTATCATTTTATATTTATATCCATACAATAATTTTAGTATAACTTACTATAATTCTTAGTAAAAATATGATATGGTTGGTTACACTATGCCTATATCGTAATTATACCGATATTATGGTAATACTTACTATAAATATGATATTTCGGACTATAATTTAGTTACTGTATCATTATAGTTCCAAATATCATATACTTTTCTCTCAGTGTACAAACATGTAAGTATGTGCGAATCACATAAATTACGTGCATTTGCCGTTTTAATTTCAAGAATTCTCTCTCTCTCTCTCTCTCTCTCTCTTTCTCTCTCTCTCTCTCTCGACGCGACGTTTTCACGAGAGTTCTTCCGAGAGTTACCGATAAAAGTTCCAGTAGAATTCGCGACAGTGACGAATCCAATAGTTTCGCGACGTCCGGCTAAAACTTCCGCGAGACGAATGTTCTCTTTCTTGCGAAGGCTGCCGAAGGCGGAGTGTACGACAGTGAACGCAGGAAACGAGTATACCGTTATACGGCCATTTCGCGAAATAAAAATCGATCTGTCTTGATTTAGCTGCCCGCGGCTGAGAAGGCGGGCGATTTGGCGAGTGACTCATTTCGCCCCGCGGTTATTATCGCGCGTGCATGGCGCGAGGAAGTGTGTCCGTTCGATCGTTGTCGATGTAAATGTATGCGCTGGCCACGATTCTGCGATCTGTCAGTCTCGTTTTATTTACGGACCGTCGGAATGAAGAGATTCAATCTCGCTGCCGAGCGCAGCGATACCGATTTGATACGCGTACAATATAGCGAGATATCGCTTCCAGATAGCGATATCGCTTTATCAGCGCTTAATAAGCATGAGTGCCCGTAATCTCGCCGTTGACTCACGCTAGAAAAAAATAATATTCAGACTCGAGGTTTACGCCTCTTGTTGCTCCTTCCCTCTCCCGTTGATAGACGCGCGCACTGATTTTTAAGATCTCCACACGGCTGTGTCGTCTTCCCCTATTTTTATATTCGCGCTGTGGAAGTTTACAAGCGTGATTTATAATTTTAGAATCTCGCAGTCGATAAGATCAGAAATAGAGGCTGTTGCCTCCCTCCCTTCTCTCCCTCTCTTCCGCTTTTGGTATCCCATAAAAAGTCGAGCTTCGACATTTCCTCCAATTCCGCGATCGGGAGAGTCAAGAAGAGCAGGTCGGAGAAACAGGAAGGAAGAGGAGGGGAAAGAGAAACAAACAAAAATTAAGTACGCGCGAGCACATACTTTTTCGAGCGCATTCGCAGCGCTAACGAGCTGTTAATTTTTATGGCCGCTCGACACGACATTTATCGTGCGATACGGGAAAGCGGCGCAATGGTATTACTGGATCGTTGCATTCGGACCTGCACACGCGCGGATATACGGCAACAAAGTGGCGACCCTGCACAGCCATCATGGCCTTTCTATAATTAATACGTCGTTAATGACGCACACGCGTTGTACATGTCGCGGTTCGCTGTTTATGCAACAGATTTGCACCGGTAATTGCAGCGGTGTTTCCATCGCTCAGTCAGCATCGCGCGGTTGAAATAATAGCGTTTCATTGCTCCAAGCTGTATCGATGCTCGGCCATTAGAATCAGCGTTGTCCAAAAAACACGAAGGGACGTTGCGCTCCTACAGGTCCCTTTCGCCCTTCATTCGACAATTAAAGAGCCTCCTAGTCTCTTTAATATCTCCTCCTTGCGCTTTAGCGTCGCGAATTGAAACTCGCAAAAGCACGTCGCGGTAGCAACGCGCAACAACACCCGGTGAAAACGGTATTCCTCTCGATAACGCGGTTCCGCTCTACCTGATGAAATCAAGGTCGGTAATTCTCTCCTCCTCGCGATGATCGTAGCCGTTGACGCGGTCCTCGTCGCCGACGCCGTCGCCGTCGCCGTCGCCGTGCAGGGTGATCTGCGTGGAGGAGTAACGGATCCCCGCCTCCAGCCAATCCTGCCGGTGGATGTTGTTGTCGCTGTCGTTGTCGTTGTTGTCGTCGTCATCGTCGAGCGCGATTTTACGCTCTGCTTCGTCGCCGTCGACGACCAGCACTGTCGCGGCGCGGTCAACGTTCGGGATGTCGCCGCCGCCTGATCTCTCGATCGCAACCTCGGCGCTGTTCCTGATAGCCTTTTCACTCGCCAAGGACGCTTCCTGCTGCTGCTGCTGCTGTTCACCAGGGCACAATCTGCACGTGGGCGTCGACCGAGCATCGTGGCCGTTCGCCTCTCTCTCGGGGCTGCATTTTTCCGAGTGACTCACTGCGACTTGCCCGCCAGCGAAATCTGGACCGGAAGACGCGCGACATTCGTCCTCGAAGGACACGTTGGTCCTGGCAGCCACCGGCGGCGGCGGCGGCGGCCTCGACGTCGCCTCCAGCCGATCTCTCGAGCTGACCACCGCCATTTCGACCTTCTCCGTCGGAACTACCGCGTCTTCTTTCCGTTGCTCTATGCCGGCTGAGTCCTTGTACCAAGTTCGATGGTCCGCTGGATGAACCTGGTCCTTGCCGCGGGAGTTCCTTCGAATCTCCGATGGCCTGCGCGGCCGTTGCTCTTCGGTCAGGCTGTCTCGCTTGCGCAGCACGTTGCCCGCGAGGTTTCCTACGGAGTAAAACGCCTGAGATTTCTCCGAGATGCTTGAACCTTCATGTTGCTGCTGCTGATGGTCGTGAGACGAGGCCAGGACCTTGCCATCACTCGACCTGCGCCGATCCGCCGTGGGATTCTCTGAACAGTTGTCCTCGGCATTCCTGTTAATGCTCGCGTTCTGCTTGCGGTGGTCCTGTTGCTTCTTATCGTTGAACACGCTTTCGTCCTTGCTGTCCTTCAAACACTCCTTCGTGGACTCGTACACGATTGTACGGCCGCCTGTTGGCGACACCTGTTGTTGTTGCTGTTGCTGCTGAGGTTGCTGCTGCTGCTGCTGCTGATTGGATCTCCAGGGCTTCGTGTTCGGCGGCGGCGGCGGGGCCTGTCTGATGGGACAGGGCGGCCTTGGCGATCTCTTAAGGGCCTCTGCAACCACCTGTCGACTCGGCCGAGGTGGCACCGGAGGCGGGTGAGGCCTCTGACTGGTCGCCAGCTGCATTCCGCTGTTTTTCCCGCTCGGGTCTTATAAGTCGACTATCGCATTCTCCACGGTGACACGATTTCGAGCGTGCAACAATGAGAGCGCGTGAGCCACGCAGGCCACCTGAAGGTACAGGTATCGGCTTGATGCGAAGTTCTCGAAATCAGCTTCACCCGGGACAATAGATCACCCGCACGACTGCATTTTCATTGGCCAGGCGCAGCGCGCCGGTTTCACGCCATGCCCGGCGATTTCCTGCGCTCACAAGGAGGCTAGACTCCGGACTGCTCGCTGGAAAAATATGCGCAGCACTCGGCGGAGGCGTGAGAACGAGCCGGCAACGAACCCGTGACGAAAGGTTCAGGTGTGGAAGATAGCCTCGCGATTATCATCGCGAGCAAACCCCGCGCCGCTTTTTCGACCGATTGACCCGGCGCGCGCTCGCGCGCTCCTCGTAATTTCGTAAAGGTACACAAGGCGGCGTGTTACTTCGCAACGACTAAAATGTCAGTGGTAACGCGAGGTACCTTCACCCGCGGCCACGTGAGAGGAAGAGAGAGGGAGATGGTTGGATGGACAAGAACAGCCGCTCCGTGAAACTTTTCGCCAGAGAGATAACGACGAGATAAGCGACGATTATCGTTGTCCTTATCACGCGATCCCGTCGTCTTCAAGTCGTCGGAATGTACCAAACGCCGTGATGTACTTCGCTGTGAACGAGGCGTCTGCTGTTTGCCAAAGACAAACGTCTCTCGCGACGCACTTCGCGCCGGCGGTGTCGGATCGCCCGTGGAATTCCCCGGCGCGAATTCCTCGGACACGTGCCGATTCAATATTTGTCACGGCAATATTTGATCCCGGCTGCAGGGCGAGAGATAAAGCGATGATAACAAGATTGAGTGCCCCCTCCGAGAGGGAGTTTCCTCTTGCGGGCGCAGCGGTCGCGACGTTCCGCTCGATCAACGTTGACCCACACGCCTCGTCGTCGCGGCGTTTCGTCAAGTAGCGGGCTATCAGGGATGACACGAGTGTTGCGCAACGCTGCACATGTCTCTAGGCCATGTTGCGCCAGCGAAATCCACACGCAATCTTGCCGCGTCCCCTCAATCGCGAGCGTTTGTTTCTCTTTTTCTTCGCCGCTTCTCTCTCTCTCTCTCTCTCTCTCTCTGTCTCGTTTCTCCTCCACCTCGTCCTCTTTACCCGCAAGCGGCTCGCGATCGCGATGCTCTAATGTGATTTTGCATACAATTTCCGCCGTCGGAATCTTTTTTTTTTTCCTTACGCACGCAGGTCCGCTAATGGGGACTGGTAGCTCGACGTCTCCGCTTGCCGAAATTCTTCTTCCTGCCGGCTCGCTCGCTCGCTCGCGAGCCGCGTTTGCGAAACCGCGCGTTTGCGATACGCCTTTTGCATACAATTCTGCAGCTGCGGGATACTACACGTCGTAGGTGTATTCCCCGGATACATCGGTTCGTTAACGATCCTCCTGCCGTGGCCGGCAGCACGCGGGGTCTTGGATTTTCGACTAAAGTTTCCCGCTGTTTCCGTTTTATTCCTTTCTCCTCTCGGCTCTCCCATTCAGCTCGATCATCGGGATGTCTCTGTTACGGCCTCGATAGCCGCCTTTCTATCTCGATCGCTCGTGCTTTCCTTTGCACGAAGAGACGTTCCCGCTGCCTTCGCGAAGGCAGCGCAGTCTGCGGCTTATCGCGCCACGCGAATAAACTTTCTATCGCGGACTGCCAAGTGCAGCGTGCGGCAATTGCTCGCGAACGAACAGATGCTGATCACGAGTCCGTCCGAGTCTGACTGCTGATGCTTCCTCTCCTGCCTCCCGGCTCCTCTTCGCTCCTCTCTCGCGACCTCGCGAACGCACTCGCATTGAAAATCTAGGACGATCGAGTCGCTCTTTGTCGTCGCTGAAAGGAACGATTCACAGGTGAGCACACGTCTTATCAACGTAGCGCGCGATAAGCACTCGAGAACGACTGATGTCACGTATTATCATTCCGAAACGAAGAAAACACGACGACGTATCCGACACATATGACTTCATCCTCGATCGCACATCACCGTCTCACCTCCGCGTCTCGCGCGCGCGCGCGCGCGTGCGACGTCACATCGCGCCTTCCACCTTTCAGCGCACCAAAATGCCACGAGATCTTCGCGGCATCGCGGTTTCTAACGCACCAGAATAAACGAGGTAAACGCTCGTTTTCCCCGACGAACGTTCCCTCCTCGCTGATAACGCTTTATCGAAGCACACACGAGCATCGGCTGGTGGAAACGAGCATTCGATGAGTTCGCTCTCTCTCTCTCTCTCTCCCTCTCTCTCTCTCTCTCTCTCTCTCTCTCTCTCTCTCTCCTTCTTCGTCTAATAATCCCGCTCTTCAGCAACACAACGGGCGAGCCGAGCGCGAAAACACTCCGTCACGAGTCGCGCCCACGAGAACCCACGAGAAACAACCTCAAGCGACGCGCACCGAATGCCTTCGGACAGGTAAAGCTAGAGCAGAGACGAACCCGAGAGCCCAGGAGGTATCTCCGATCCAGTATCTCCTCCTCCGTCTCTCCCTACCTTCGTGCAACCGATCGAGCCTCTATCCTCTCTTTCTCGACGAACCGACGAACCGCGGCGGACTGACTCGGCGATCCCGCAAACATCCTTCGCGATCGGTGGCCACGTGACTGGCCGAGCTCGAGTTCTCGTCAGGTAGTTAGTGAATGTGTGCGTTGTGCGCGAGCGAGCGAGCGAGCGAGTGGATGTGTGAGCGAAGGAATGAATAAGTGAATAAATGAGTGGGTATATTATGTATGTATGTGTATGTGTGTGTGTGTGTGTGTGTGTGGAGGACAGCAAGAGGGAGCAGAGGTAAATGTAAAGAGGGCCTGCGGTTGATGGCGGTGGCGGAGAGACTGAACACGGTCTCTCTCGGCGATCTTAGCACAGTGATCGCGCAGTGATCGGGTAGGGAAAACGCGACGCGGGCGTTTAGATCGCTCGGGGCGTTACGTAAAATCGGCAGATCTGGGGAAAAAGCGGCTCTCCACCGCTTCGGAAAGCCACGACGGAAAGTCGCGCGGCGGTCACACTTTCTAGCGTCGCTGGTAGACAGCCGACAGCGCTGGTTTCTTCTCGCTCGGGGATGTTATTTTTCCCGCGTTATTTTCACGGCGCATTCCAGCGAAGCCTCGACGCTCGACGGCTTCGCCGCTCTCGCCGGCTCCGACCGTCCGCCCGAGATATGGGAAATGAGAATCTAAATTCCAGCGGAGAATCTCTCACACAAGTCGAGGCTTCGCGTTTCAGAGCTCAAAAGCTGCTCCGGCGTTGGCCGATCTTTTGTCACCGCAGTATTCTCGCGCGACTCTTTGTGCAATGTCAAAATTTGTCTTTTCTTTCTCCGAGATATTGAGTACGCGTCGAGAGAGAGAGAGAGAGAGAGAGAGAGAGAGACGCGAAATTCGCTAGAACTCTCGTTAGAGAGCACAAACGCGATATCGCGATTATAAAACCATTCAATTACGGCAGCGAGATCTACTTGGCCGGTGAGTCCTTAATTAAATGCAGTTGCCTGAGATTGCTCAAGTTTATGTAAGCCGATTTCGCCGTGACGCGATGGAATTACAGGACTCACGCTACACTTCACGGTAACCGTCACATGCCGCGCTCCTGTTCCTCTTTACATCATATTCGGGGGGGAGGGGGCGCGCAGATGTAACAGCTTATTACCGGCGAATCTCGCGAGCTGGTATCGGCGCGCGAACGCCAAGTATCGCGATTTGCGGTAAGCATAAATTTTCCGGAATTTCCGGGACGAGGAACCTCGCGACTTATCGACCTGCGTGTCGGCACGGACCAGTCATCGCAGTAGCTCGCAAACATCGCCGTGTACACAATGATAAAAATACAAGCGCAGAGTGATAAAGTGTCAATTTTCGCAGATAGTGGTCTCCGAAAGCTGGCCAAACTTCCGTCGTGGAAAAAAGTCCCGTAAGAGTAACGAGGAACTGAGAGGAGAACGCGAGAGACGAACGTCAGAGAGGGAGGAAAATTCCGCGGCGCAATTAACACAATTATGATTATTAAGAGTGCCGCTACGTTATGAAACAAACCCTTGGGCTCGAGTCGAACTCTATCTCTCTCCCTCTATCTCTCGAGGTTTGTCTCGCTACCTTCCATCATTGAGTGTAGGTGTGCATCGCGGCCGGTATCGCCGCGGTATCGCGTGAGAGAGTAACCCGTAGCGGTAGATGAGAAGGGCGAGACGGAGGAGGGAGAGGAAAAAGAGAGAGAGAGAGAGAGAGAGAGAAGGGTCGTCGGAGGAAAAGGCGAAGCAAGTGAGACGGCTGAAAAGGGAAGGGACCCATTAGGTCCCCTCCGCCTCGACGACGAGCTGCCCCATAGCGCGGAGGTCCGTTCACCAGTGCCGTAACTTGCGCGACATTCTGCATAGCTCTCGTCCCCCGCTCGCAGTTTTTCCTTCTCTCGCGCGCTGCACGTTCGAAGATTGCGGAAGAAAGATTCCACGGAAGCGTCATTATCCTTGATTCGCGTAATTCGCTTTATTAACGGAGCGGCTCCCCCCGCCCCTGCTGACTCTCGTTTGCGTTGGTTTTTAACTCCGAGAGCTGCGCGGCGTTGCAGGCGTTTTAAAATAGGCTGCAAACAAGTCTCACAACGCGAGGTGTGTACAATGTGTCGATCAAAAATATCCGACAAAAGGAGAGTACTGATTTTGCACGCAGCTTTCCGTGAGACGAAGGAATCTCGCGGTAAAATCTCGACGCCTCTGCGCGCGATCGCGCTCGCTTAGAAGATAATTTCAATCACGTTTTTGCATGTTATCACCCGACTCGATACGACAACAGCTTCCGGATGTTCTATAAATAACCGTCGACATTGGAGCGTAGCGAGGTCGCCGGCAGAGATCAGCGCGGAATAGCCGGCTGATATACCGCGCGCTGAGCGTCACCGCGGGATGACACCGCGCGACGATGATACGCGACGAGCGCGAGCCGTTATCAGCGCGCATCGCGCGGCGCACTTATCGTCCGCCCATTCACGGCGTAATTAAGCCCGAAGTGGCACGTCTCGGCCGGGAAACGCGGGCTCGGAATTTATTCACACTCTGTTTCGCGACTCGGGCAAAAACGACTCGTTCCACTTTTGCGGCCGATCTCCCGCGATAAAATGCAAATCGGCGGCCGCACGACGCGGCCCGGCCGGTTCCTAGACCGGTCGAAATCGGATCGTCGAGTGTCGGAGACGTTCCTGTCCGACCGCTACGCGGCCGTCAAAACAAATTCGATTTCTGGGTCACGGGGTTTCGCGAAATGTATGCGCGCCATATCGAAACACGCACGTTTCTTCGCTCTATTCCTTTTCTCCTCGCCCACGTCTTGGTGCTTCCGAAGTGGCTCACGTTTTTCACGTAGCGATATTTTCTCTCAAAACGCCTCGCGCACTGCGCGATCGGTCTGCAATTCCTCATAAAAATTGCTCGAACTTGTACGCGGTGACAAATAATCCAGTTTCTTCGAGGTAAGCGTTAAATCGATTACCCCGTCGAAAAAAAAGAAAGAAAAGAAAAATAAAAAGAAAAACATTACTCGCGCACAGTACTTGCCCGACTTTCCGCTCACGCATTCGCGCTTCGCTTGTTCCATTAAACGCGTCGGAGTTTCCACGCGCGATTATGCCGGCGAAATACGCGTTCCCCCAATTAAAGCGCGAAAAGGAGAGACTCCGACGGTGAGACCGCAGTCGTCGCCACCGCCGCCGAGGGAACGATTATTCTGCGACTATTACGTTACATTCTTGGTTACACGCGCAACGTACACGTGGGACACGCTGACAGCACACATATCGGCTTATTAATAATTCAACGAGTCCATGTCATCATCCGGGGGGCGCCGCAGGTACGATGAGAGAAGCCAATCTGCGAGCGCATACGAGCGTGACGCAGCAGGTCGCGTGTCAACCTTCCGAAACGTAAGCGCACAGGCCTCTTCACCGCGAGGAAAGTTGAAGTAACAGTTTCACTGAAACTAGATTCGACGGTTCCCGGCTACCGGGGCGAATCATCGCCGCCGGATGTTGCGGACAAAACTTCGTTGTCATTGTAGAGACACGGGTTGCCGACAGATACCCTGTATATGGCTGCGCCGAGAAAAATGTTAATTGCAAGTAGCAGTGCTGAAATAAGAATTCTTCTGAGAAAACTCAATGAGCACGTAAAAGCGAGGGGGCATTTTGCAGGGAGCAGATCGCCGCGCAGTGGAAAGTGACGGTTTCAGACTTAGTCGCAGCCCCGTCGCAAGTGTGCACGCGCGGAAATGCACGTCAGGTTGCCGTGCGGCAGGCGAGATTAATCGTCAACGGATGGATGCACTTTAGATAATACCCTGAATTCAACGTACCGACCGTTTCCTCGGGAAACGAGAATGAGTCACTCGCCGGGTCGCATACGTTGACACTGATCTCTGAACGTTTCACATTGTCTCGGTGAACACAGTGTTTACCGAGTGTGCGATCAATCCGAGAGACATACGTTTACAGACGAATCATAACGAAGCCACGAAGCGCATCGCCAGCTGCTGACGTTTCATCGTCTCAGCGGCTCTGGCTCGAGCGAGCGAGGTCGAGCGCTGCAAGTCTGCTTTAGCGATACAAAGTTCTTCCTTTACAATACGTAGACGAAGGACAAAGACAATCTATTGAGAGGGACGACGGGGCCCTCGTACAGCGTCAACCACATGACACCTTCGGAAATAATCGTTTCCATTGACATCGCTTCCAAGTTCCTCCAAAGGGCAACCCGGAAGAGAGATCTGAGGCGAAGGACGGACGCGCGTTACCTGATTACTCGCTGCGTGCTGACACCTGCGGGCCCGTGCGCAAAGCGTCGGTTACTCCTTGAACTTCCACTCCTGGCGGCACATCGGGCAGATGTGGCTGGTCTGCTGGGAGTGCAGCCACTTCATGATGCAGTGTATGTGGAAACAATGCGAGCACTGCCCCCACACTGGAACAAGTCGCGTCGATCGCGCGTTAAATTAATTTCGTCGTCGGTGTCGGACCTCGCGCATGGAACGCGCACCTGGCGGTGGGGGAGAGCGACGGACGGACATGCGGACGTGCGTGCGTGCGTGCGTTCGCCGTGTACGCGCATCGACGTGACGGGCTAGAACGAACACTAGGGCGAGGGGCAGCGGTTTATCCGCCGGCCCGGCCGCTGGCACGCGTCGATCGATATCGCGCGCCGTCGCGGACACGCGCTCTCGCCGTGGCGGCTTTTACGAGTTGGGGGCATACGCGACAGATCTCTGTCCTTTTCTATCCCATCTGTTCCTTTGTAATTATTACGTCCGGAATCACGTGAGATATCGTATTTCACAGAGTTACGCAAAGATGACGTTGAATCATTTTGGCAAAAGCTTGCTTCTGAAATCTCCCTCTCCCGCATCTTTTTGATAAAAATAATTCTGGGGTGAAAATATATAATCGTATAGTAAAATATCTTCCTAAACAATTTCTTTTCTGACAATGAGTGATTGAATTTTATATCTCTGATTATATCTCTGATTTGCACGATTGTAATCGAGACAGAAAATCGTAGCGCTATATTTGTACATGCGTGATTGTTGTAAAAAAATAAAAGTGGAAAGAAAGAGAGAAAGAAAGAAAGAGAGAGACATGTGAAATATATACCCAGCGGGCAATCGTCTCCAGGAATTTTGCAGTCCGGGCAGCTGGCGTCAAATGGCATTCTACAAATGCCGCAATTATCATCATTCGCTATCCAACGCCAGGTGGCGACTCCGGTCCAGCCTGAGAATGAAAACGAGTCTTACGGTTGTTGGTCTACAGGAGAGATACTTCAAGACACAGCAAGGAAACTCATAAACATTGGACATAGCAAACATAACCATGTGGATGTGAACTAAACATTACAAATAATCCATCCCATGACCATGCGTGCCCATATCCATATCACGATCCATACACCCCAGAGCCTCTCAATCGAATGTTCAACTAATAAAGTGCTTGCAAAGTACTTACTTTTTATTGTTATCTTCATTTCGATGTTAAGAGCGAGCCTAATTTCAAGGCTAATCACACGGCGTACGATAAATGCAACGACCAGGTCTCTTCGACGACGAGTCTCTTGCAACTCTCCCAGAAGTCTTCGAGTAATCTTCGAGTGAAACACAATGGTGTGAAGGATTGTCGAGGTACGCGTTTACAGAATAACGCGCGAGGAACCAACCGCAGCCGAGCAACAGGAGCGACCAACAACAGGGCTACGCCATCTTGAAATTTTCAAATCGCGCTCAGACCACGAGAGTATTCTCGCTCAACTATAAACGGGCGTAGTGAAATTATATCACCCCGTGTGTCTGCGACACACACAGAAAAATGCAATTACCGAGAGACTCGTTGTGTGCAGCTCGAACCTCGCTTCAGAGTACAGAAACGATCTTCGCTCTTGCTCATCGCGACGAAAACGCGTCGATTCGATTGGCGTACTCGACTGCTCCTCTCTCCGTGATAAATTACCTCCGCCAAAGTCCTATTTTCCGACAATTCCGATTCTTCCTGGGGAACGCGAAACAGCCGACTCTCGTCTGTACTCGTTTACGATGGCAGCCGGCCGCTCGGCGTCCCGGCATCTTTTTCCGCGTGTATTGCGTCGCAGAAATTGAAGAGCGGCCGAAAATCCCAGCGGTTGGCTCTCGCCGTGCGCGCTCCAGTGGCGCGGCGACGGCGGTCGAGTGGAAACACTCCTCCCCGTCGCGAACGGTGGAAGAAGCGCGCAGCGGCGCCGCGATGCGCCGAACGAGAGTCACGGTATACGACACGGCACTGGCACTGCACACTGCACAGCAGCACAGCGACGGAGAGTCACCGTGTCAGCATTTGTCGTGCGGTGATGCGAGAGAAGCGCGTAGCTCGCCGCTCGGCCTGCAGCGTCAACGGAGCGAGTCGCTAGTGCGCGCGCGTTCAGCAACGAGCCGGCGTATCCGACGTGACCGCCCGTAGTGGATTCGCGCTTGGTTTCTGTCACGAGTCGTTCGACGAAACTCGCATTATGACAGGCCCGTCTCGGGCGTCGTAGATCCGCCAGCGTCGCGTACTGTACGTTCGGTCCAGTCTACTGAGCGGCGGACCTCTTCAGCGACATGGCGGGCTTTCGGGACGAGGACAGGGCCCTGTTCCCGATCCAGAGCATCTCCGCGATCGTGCAGATCTTCAAGAACCAGCTGGAGAACAGCGCCGAGCCGGATCTCGCGCTGCTCTCGATCCTCGTCGGCGCCGTGGAGAATTCCCTAACCTGCAATCGCGCCTTCGTCTCCCAGGAGAACGTAGTCTACGACGAGCCGAAGCTACCAGCGGTCGAATACCATATCGCCGAGGCCCTTTACACCAAGTTCCACGCGGTGATTAAGGGCGCCGTCGACCTCACTGTTTATGACACCAAGTACGCCACCAGAGAACTCGTGAAGAAGGTGTCGGACGTGATATGGAATTCGCTCACTAGAAGTTACTATAAAGACCGAGCTCATCTGCAGAGTCTCTACAGTTACTTGACGGCAAACAAGCTGGATTGTTTCGGTGTTGCCTTCGCTGTGGTGGCAGGATGCCAGGTTCTGGGATTCAAGGATGTGCATCTCGCAATGTCAGAGGATCACGCTTGGGTTGTGTATGGAGAGGACGGCACAGAGACAGCTGAGGTCACATGGCATGGTACGTATCACAGATTCCTTGTACAAGTATGTAGCGTTCTCTTATTTCGCTGAGAGATCCGACAGACACAGATATATTGCAAGCGCTCCAATTCAATATCATTCAATAGCAGGTAAAGGAAATGAGGACAAGCGTGGGCAGCCGGTGGAGCCTGGTGTGGCATCTCGCTCGTGGCTCTATGTGAATGGTCATGCGGTCGTGTGCTCTCGTGCTATGGAAGTGGCTACCATAGTGTCAGCCATAAACCCTAGTCTGAGCGCAACAGCCGATGCGGCTGAAGTCGCGTTGCTTCAGCAGGAATTGCTGTGGCTGTTGTACGATTTAGGCCATCTGGCAAAGTACCCAATGGCACTGGGTAACCTGGGTGATTTGGAAGAAGCTGCGCCTACACCTGGAAGACCGCCGGCCATAGACCTCTTTCAGGTTTGTGACATGCCTGAGACATCAGCCTCAGCTTGTGTGTCTCCGGGCCAGCACTCGTATTGAACGTATTAATATGCGCGCAGGAAGCCATAAGATCGGCGAGGAAGTATTACGGAAATGCACATGTCTATCCGTACACTTATCAAGGCGGATATCTGTATCGGCATGGGTTACACGCGAACGCACTATCGTCGTGGGCCGACGCCGCTGATGTCTTGCGAAAGTGAGTATCTGACGCACGACGTTTTTTTCTCTCTCCTTCGTCTCTTTTTTGCACGCTCCGCGCATACATTCGCTGGCGCCGTGACGCGCCTGGCGTTTTTTGGCGACAGTGAATATACTAACGCACCGCTTCATCGTCATATTCACATCTATATTGACGTCTATATTGACGCGTCTCCATGTGCGATAGATATGATTACTCGCGGGACGACGGCGAGATATACAAGGAGTTGATAGAGATCGCCAACGAGCTGATACCACATACGGTGCGCGCCGACGAGCGGCTGTTACGACAACCGCGTTGCTTCGCGCATTTGTTGAGATTCTACGACGCTATCTGCCAGTGGGAGGAGGGCGCAAACACCCCTGTGCTGCATATTGGCTGGGCCCGGCCGTTGGTGAACACGATCTCGAAATTCGATGCCGGTATACGCGCGCAAGTGGTCATAGAGTGCTACAGCACCGAGGCCAGGCCGGAGGAGCAGGCGGCGCAAAAGAGAGAAACCAGCCCTGAGGAGACGCTCAACAACAACAACAACAATTACTGCAAGACCAAGGAGAGGGGCAACGCGGCGCGAGACCTGATCAAGAGTCTAGAGTCCAAAGTACCCTCCAACCCGGCGCCCACGCATCCGAGTATCCAGGCGCTGACGGCAGCCTGCAGCGAGAAGATACTCAACAGAGACTACTTGCTGCAGGGTGGCGGTGAGCCATTCGTCGCCCCACCGGACGACGCTCTGCCGCCCGCGCCTTCGACGTCCCAAGAGAACGTCGACCCCGAGGTGGAGGCAGACTCCGAGAACGAGAGGCCCAGGGTGATATTATACAGCCAGAAGATGAAGGGCCTGAAGGACCTGCTGCTGGCGGAGAAGCTCAACACCAGCGCCGTGGTGTTGCAACTGACGGCGCAGAGTCAGGTGCAGATCGGTAAGAAGTCTCGCGGTGGCGATGACGTGGGTGTCAGTCAGCGCCCCAAAAGGACACGCCGGGAATAGTATAAGATACTCGACCGACGTTTCGGCATAGTAAAATATTAAAATGGTGCCAGCAAAGGGTCTCAGTGGACCCTCCGCGACTCTCGGCGAGTCCAAGTCGGATATACATGATCGAATCGCGCGCGATTGGTGCGCTGACGTTAAGGTATACCGACACTTCCTCGCTCTCGGTTTTCTCCCACCGACGCTCTGGGCGCATTGCTATCCTCCCCGGCTGGACTCGCCGGAATCTCTCGACCCGATGAGCGTCGCGATGAATATCGTGTGCCGTTTGATTTCAATCAATCCTCCACGGTGCTTCTCGTTTTCTGCAACGGCGAAGGCCGCGCGGGTCCTTTGCGAGACACGTTTACGTTACCGTCGGGAAATATATCGCCGTTAGACTTGTAGATAAAGTAGATACGAAGAAAATTTGTAGAAAAGTACAAAAAAGTTTTCCCCAGTTTGAGTTAATGGGCGGGGTCGCTCGTAGCTCGTCACAAAATGGATAATCTCTTCGTCGTCTGCCGATTGTCCCGTTCGGCGCCACCTCGTCGAGACTTTCTCGCCCGACGTTTCGCCGTCCGAGATCCTTCCTCGGTCGCGGCGTTATTTCGGTCTCGCCGAAATTTCGAGATGATCGAAACGCGGGGGGAAACAATTTCCAGGTTCAGTCCCGCTTTTACATTTTAAAAAACGACACGTTGCGTTGGAGCGTTAAACTTAACAACGTATTTTTTAGATGTTATATTTTTTTATAACGTTATAACGTTATTGTGTCCATCGCGATAAATGTTGCGACGTTCAATCGGTCGGTATCTCAGCGCGCTTCTTCACGAGAGCGTCGTGAACGAGCGAACACGACGAGCGGCGAGACGTCCGAGCGCGAAGGTGCGCGGACGAGGAGGAAGTGACCGAGGGACAGCAGAAACAGCAGACAAGGAAGTGACTTGCTACCGTCGCAATTCGACTATTGTGCGTGTAAATATCTCCTTGATTCTTCCACAGTGCGTAGAGCTGTGACTTGCGGTAAGGGGAAAGGAAAGGGAGGAGAAGGAATCGCGAGTGTTGTACCTAAAGCTATCTCCGCGGGAGGGAAAATACACACAGTTATTTATTCTACGAATTGCAATTTTTCCGACGTTGTCACCGCCCCCGCCGGTGCCGTCGTACTTTGACATGCATCTCTAATCTCTTGTTGCACTCTTATTTATTGATTCACGTTTTCTTTTTCTCTCGATTGAGCTATATTGCACTATTGATAATTATATATACGATTGACAAGTTATCGTTAACGTTTTTTACACTTTACTTGGTAGTTGAACTTTCGTTAGAGTTACGCTTCTCTGATAAGGGAGAAAGGAAGGAAGGAAGAAAGAAAGAAAGAAAGAAAGAAAGAAAGAAAGAAAGAAAGAAAGAAAGAAAAACCACACATTCCACTCCGCATGTGGTGTATAAGCTAATTAAGTTTCTACCTTAAGGTACCTTAAGCATCAAATGTGGCTGCTTATTTTTATAACTATTTATTTTCAGAGTAACCTAGTAAGAAGTGTATCTATTCGTAAGATTTCTCTATTTTGCTGTTTGTCGAACGAGCTACGATACGCTCGACTTGATCAGGAGGACACGCAGGGAGTTAAAATGTCTTAACGATCTATACCGCGACCGACGTTCCGGTATAATTAATAAGTACTGAAGATACCATCGGGATTCAGTATATATATCCCCCGTTCTCTCGACCAGCTCGCAAGTCGACGGGGCCGAGACGCAATTGGCCGGTCAGTTGTTACTGACGGTGCAGGGTCAAGTACAAATGATTGAAATAAGAAGTCGCGACGACGACGACGACGACGATAACGATGACGACGACAACGACGCGGAAGTCAGTCAGTCGGAAAGACGTTTCGAAAGGAAACAGATTAGGGGGACACGTCGGGGAAACAATGCGAGATCCTTTGGCCGACGGTGTCGGCACAGCAGCCAAGTATTAAATACGTAGTGCCAGCTGGGCGAGCTCTCTCGAGAAACGCAGAACGAATGAATGAATGAACAGTTGGCTGGCTGGCCGACGTGGTCGCGCGCGCATCATTGGGAAGTCATCATTGGAAAACAGCCGACCTCGTTAAGATATATTGAGGGGGGAGGGAGGGGGATGAATTTTCCTCTTTCTCTCATTTTCTCCGCTGGGCTATCCAAAATCTCTTCTCGAAGCAAGAGATTTTCTGACTTGCCCGCTTCATAGCCCCTGGCAAGCCTTGTCCTTCGCAGCGTATCCCGGCGCTTTCCAGCCGCGCGTTCCGCCTCCGGCTTTGTCTTACTCATCTTATTCTCGCTCGTTCTTTCCGAGCCGCTGTTCGAAGCCGAACGGCGATCACCTTGTATTGTTTCCGCTGATGATCGGTGACACGCGCGTCTGCAAAACTGGCGGACTCACGCCACTTTGACTAATGATCACTTTCAATCGGGTACGGTACCTGTCTACGCGACGATTCGACGCTCTTTGTTTTTCTCTTGTTTCTCTCTCTCTCTCTCTCTCTCTTCTCACTGGTGTACTCCTCTCTCGTTTTTGTCTCTGTCTCGCTTTCTCTCGGGATCCCGACAGGTGCGACGGGTATCGTCACCTGTCCAGTACGTAATCGCCGCGTCCGCCGCCTCGGACGCGATCGACGCTCTTTCACGATGTTACGAAGCGGTTTGTTGTAGAGTATATTGTTGACAGCAATGAGATATAAAGACGGTCCGAGCTGATCGATGATAACTTAATATAATGAAAAGGGCGCTATCTTACTGTGATGCTGAATATATATACATATATATACTACGTAGGCAGTCTGAAAAGTTCGGCCTAACAATGAAGGAGAATTTTTTTGCCGTGAAATATATTTCATTTTTCAATATAATCTGAAACTTCAATACATTTATTCCAACATTTTTCCAATAATTCAATACCATTATTAAAGTGTGATTCCGGAAGGTCTGCAAAATATCCATCCACGGCTGTAATAGCTTCGTCATTTGATGTAAAACGCTTTCCAGCCAGGAATTTTTTTAGGTTTGGAAACAGATAATAGTCAGAGGCCAGGGAGCCAAATCTGATGAATACGCTGGATGTTCAAGCAATTCGTACTTTAATTCGTTGAATTTTGCCATTGTCAAAACACTTGTGTGAACACGTGCATTGTCTTGATGGGAAACGATTCTTTTCTTCTTTAAAGCAGATCTTTTCTCACGAATTTTTGCATCCAATATAATAAATAGATCCAAAAGGTTACAATAATATTCAGAGTTAATCGTTTTATCTTTCTGAAGATAATCGATCAACAAAACACCTTTGTAATCCCAAAAACCTGTTGCCATAACCTTTCCTGCTGATGGAACCGCCTGTGCCTTCTTTGGTGCACGTCCACCGGCTTCGATCCATTGTTTCGACTGTTCTTTTCGCTCTGGTGTATAGTGGTGGATCCAAGTTTCATCAACAGTTATGAAACGACGCTTGAAATCCATTTTATTTTGCTTAAAACAATTAAAATGTGCCAAACATGCTTGAGAAATACGCATTCGAATGCGTTTTTGGTCAATTGTTAGCAAATGCGGCACCCATCTTGCACAAAGCTTTTTCATATGTAATTCTTCATGCAAAATATTTCCAATTCGTTTTTTCGAGATGCCTATGACCTCAGCTATTTCACGCATTTTCACTCGCCGATCATCTAACACCATATCATGGACTTGTTGAATGTTTTGTGGTGTTGTAGCAGTTTTTGGACAACCTTCGTGTGGATCATCTTCGAGGCTTGTACGACCAGATTTAAAAAGAGCAGCCCATTTTTTCACAGTGGAAAGTGAAGTTGATGCATCCTTATACATTTTTAACAATTTCGGATGAATTTCTGTTGGTGTTAAACCATCCAAAACAAAGAATTTAATCACTGCACGATATTCAATTTTTTCCATTTTAAAAAAGACAATGATAGGTCAATATTAAACTGGTGCTACTACTCGAATGACTTGACAGATCGAATTAAAATTTTACATGGGTTTATATCAGGGATGCCACTTTCCAATACAATTATAGTTTAACAGTTTCTAATGTGTCATTTATGTGTCAAGCCGAGAACTTTTCAGACTGCCCTCGTATGTGTGTGTGTATGTGTGTGTGTATATATATATATATATATATATATACACATATACATATTATATATATACATGAAAAAAAGTATATATACAAATATACGATTAATAACCGTAGCGAATAACGAGAGCGGCGCGTGTGTTTCGCGCGCGATCGCGACTCCGCGCCGAGCTGTAACTAATTAAACAGTAGTATTAATGTCGATCGAGGAACATGGAATACCGAACGCAACGACAATGAGGCGCGGGCGCAAGCACGAATCGCGAGATCCTTCTTCCGCGGAACGGCGTTGCGCATCGACGATCAGTCGTTTCTTTTATCCTCTTTTATTTTTCACCCAAGGCATTTCCTTCCTTGCGTCGCCGCGCTTCATAGTCGCGTTTCGTAGTCGCGTCGGCTGTCAACGGATCTGTGGTCTTCGATCGCGACAGCCGACGCGGCCAGAGTGCGTCGCTCCAGCGGACGGTCAGTCGTGGATCCTCCTCTAGCGAGAACTTGTGACGAAGATTTGCCAACTCGGAGGCATCCGGCTCTTCACGAATTCACGCTGGAGAGGAGAGACTCATGATCGCCTGTCGGGAGTCGCCAGTTTGCGATTTAAGAGCTGCGATCTGCTCCTCGATGTTGACACCGGCTCGAAGAACGAGAGGTTGAGGATCGTAACATTGCCACAGTCGTACAGAGGATGACTGTACACGAGGGAGGGCCGTTGTCCTCTCTTTTTCTCTCTCTCTCTCTCTCTCTCTCTCTCTCTCTCTCTCTCTCTCTCTCTCTCTCGGCACCGTCGCGCGTCTCTCCTGCGCGATGCCGATCCAGCGAAGCGAGCATTAGCATTTCGCCGCGACCGACGTTGACGCCAGCCGGCCTCGGGGAACGTTCGGAGGTAGAGGCTTTTCTCGAGAGAGAAAGAGAGAGAGAGAGAGAGAGAGAGAGAGAGCTATATATCACGATTGCACACGCGTTTCGGCTCTACAGGAGCCTCGTCCCGATGAGAGAAACGAGCTTCCACGAGGCACATCAGCGATATACCGCCTGGCCCACAGAGCCGCAATCGCAATCGAGATTCGGTACTTGAGCGGTAATTCTCCTTGGTTCTCTTTTTCTTGCGAATACACACACACACACACACACACAGGCATGCGCATACGCTCTGGGTCTCGAAAGAATTCGGGCACTTTTGTCGGATGCAGTTCGGGACGCTGACGATGGTCCAGTGAGGAACTTGAAGTTTCCTTCAGCTCGCTTCCGAAAAATTTCCCGGAAGGAAGTTTCCTCATTGGGCATCTGTTGCGTCTCGAACTGTCTGAACAAAGAAATTCACACCATTTTGAAACCCATTGTATACAGACACACACACACACACACACATCCTCGATACACAGCTGTCGTACTCAGTATTCTTTCCTTGTCCACGATAACGGAGCATTAAAGACTACAGGGATTATTGTGCATAATGGTAGGGATAGTAGGTGATGAAGATATGGTGCATCAGAACAGTATTTTTGTATCAACGGAGGGCGTGTGTCTTCTCTCCGATCGACGTATTATCGGTAACGTTCGCGGGCGTGTAAGGGATCGGAGTGTAATATTCGGTAGGACGTCTCGACGGCAAAAGCGCCGTAATCGGCGGGCTTATCGTGAAGCGTTACTTTTCTCGTAGACTTTCACCCACGGTTATATGTCCCAGCGGATTGCGGCCAGGTGCGTGCGCTCGTCGATCGCAACGAGACGGGCGAATCTTGGGCGCGGGTGAGACGCACGCGGCGGCGAAGAACCTGGAAAGACACCGGAAACGACGATGAGAGAGTATCGCGCGTTTTCTCGCGCCGTCCGGCGCGATTTTCGATTCGCAGCCGAGGCGCACGCTCGGCGCGAGAGCGATCACTCCTTATTTCGTCCTCATCGCCGAGCGAGGACGAGCGTGGTCTTGGAGGAGTTTGAAATAGATTTTCAGTTTCGCGGCGAAAGCCCCGGAGAAGCTTTTCGAATTTTTCATCACCGACAGACAAGGGGGAAAATTCATTTCAAGCTCGTCGGAAGACCTCATCGTTGAGGACCGACGATGGGACATCTTGTAGAGAATATGGAGCACTGCACACGATAGATTAATCTCCGTCTTTCTTATGTTGCGCCCTTCTTCCTCTCAGCTTGCCACTACCATGTTACCGTAAGTAGAAAGCGGCCTTCGGTATGCTTCTGTTCTTCTTCTTCTTCTTCTTCTTCTTCTTCTTCTTCTTCTTCTTTTTTCCGACGCGCCTTCTCGTCGGAGACGCCGCGCTTTTTGCCTCGGAGCAAATCATTCGGATGATGATCGATCGGTCTGCGCTTGTGGATTTAGTTTATTTAGGATCGTCTTCTGCGTTTTAAAGCATCTTTCAATGTACACGCGCAAACTAGGCGACACTGACCTGAACGTTGAGTGCCATCGTGTCATCGGAATCAGATTGCTCGAAACATCGCCAATCGCACGGGTTAAGCACTCCGTTAGCAATAATGCGATAACACTTGCTACACAAATATTTGATCGAATTATCCTCCATTGTGGACGAGTGATACGTGACGAGCCACTCGCACACGAATCGATGATGACGGGCTCTCTCTGTAAAAGCTCACGCGTCACCCAAATGCGAGTTATGTAACATCCAACGTGTTGCCGTAACGGGAATCCCTTCCGTAGATGGAATTTCGCTAACACGTCCCGTGTCGGGACTAATTTTACGTGTCCGCGCCGCGTGTGTGGCCCACGCACGCACAGTCGCGTCTCTCCGAGCGAGCGAGATTTTATCAGAAAATTCTGCTTCCATTTTACTTCGGGCAGAAATAAAGAAATTAAAGGCACAAGCTCTGTCCCGTTCCACTTCGAAATCTTTTTCTTCGTTTTTCTATTTTATTTCTTTTTCTATTTGTATTTTTATTTGTTTTTTCTATTCGTATTTCTATTGTTTCTCTATCTTATTTTATTTTATTTTGCGTAACGCACGTCTCGTAATAATAATTGGAAAAGTTTCACGACCGAGTCTCGTCTCGGGAATTAAATGGCCCGAGCGGAAAGTTCAGCCACGTGGGGCACACGCGGCGTGTTGAACGAAAGTTAACGACGTGTCGCGCAGTGACGATGACGCGCGTTTCCTAAAGCGTCACATCGAAGAGAACGTGCGCGTGGCGATCGATTCGCGATAAGGAGAAAATCGAATGCAAAAGAACGAAGCGCGTGTAGAGTGTCATGTCTTGTCGCTCAACTATCGAAGCTATCTCAAAGCACGCTCCGCCTCGCGCTCGTCTGCACTCATCCTGCGCCTCCTCGATTCAGCGAGCGTTTAGTATAATTCTGTCGTTCGCCTCGGTTTTCCGAGGGACTTTATCCGACGTGATCTGAATCATATACAATACACTGCGCCGATCGTTCCTCGGCGAGCACAGACTCGCCGCCGTTCTCAGCTCCCGGCTCCATCCATCCGCCAGCTTTGTTTTCATCGTAGTCCGCTATCTTTATTTATCGTTGCGTGCCATAAAGTCTGCCCGTCGAATGTGCATGATTCATAGTCCACCGTATGCGACGACACGTGTTAGCTGCGCCGTTAAGTTTTCCTCGCGGGCGCGCCTCGCAGGATCGATCAACCGCTTTTGTCATGCGCAACTCATTCCGCTTGTTTTTACGTTCTCCCTCGGCGGCCGCGTTGTTCACGGCGCGATTAGCGCCGAACGGAAACGCGAGGATCGGCTCTGCTCGCGATGTAAAACGCACAGTGCGACCGCGGCGACAAATCCGCCTTGTCCGCGAGTTTTAGCAGGCAGCCCCGGAAAGCCGTCCGCAGGCTCTCCTCCGGGCAGGTTCTTCGGGCATCCTTTTGCCTTTTTTGGAGGCACCTCGAGATCTCCGAGACTCGCGTTCCCGTCGGCATCCGCTGCTTTTGCTCGACTCATCGCGCGTTTCATTAGTTTCCATGACAGACGCACGACGTTGACATCTCGCAACGCGGTTAGAGAGCTCTCGCGACGAGCGAGCCAGCACGAGTTCGAATCCCGTCTGGTTGTCGATGTTAAATGCGCCACGTTGCGTTAACACGCTGAGCGCCGCGTTCGACTCGACTTCGAGCGCGGAGCCCGCGCGAAGGCCCGAATTCGCGGGGTTGAATCGCTTTTGAAACACCATCGAGTCCGAGTCGTTCAGGTCGATAAGAGAGACTCGCGCTGGCGAGGACCAGAGCGGAGGGTGACGCCGCGCGCTCAGCGTGTTAAGAAGGCGACGTCTCCTTTGTCTCCGACGCGGGCATTACGTCGATCACGGCTCCGCGTCCGCAAAGTGCTCCCGCAAAGTCTCTCTTTGGGATTTGCTCGCGCCGACGAATGACTCACATCCGACACTTCGCAATGGAGATGTGTACTTCCACACGAGGGACGTACGGTTAATTAGGGGATTATATAGGGAAAACGCTACTATATATAGAGTAAAACTAAGTCCGAGTGTTTAAAGGGAAAAAAAAAAGAAAAAAAGAAAAAATCTACATCTACATCTACAAGTAATTAACACTTGCTAAGTATACCTTCTCTCATGTACTTAAGCGAAACGAAAACGATAGTGAGGGGAAACAGGGGTGGGAGGGGAGAAGCCTCGGTGCGTAACGTGTGTAGCGCGTTGTATACACGCAGAGCTCTGTAAAATATTACTTCACAGTGTTTCGACTATACCAGTCAAATATTCTCTCGCATAATCACTTTCCTCTCAGAAAGCGCAGTAATCGGGGGGACGTTCCCTTCGGGGCCGTTAATATAACATAGACCTAGAGATTAGGGAAACGAGCTAAATATCGATAATCTCACATTTAACGCATAAATAATAGACCGTGAGACGGAGAATGGACATGACGCTCGCAGGATGGAGTAATATTTTGCTTGTCTCTGATCACACCGCGACAACGACATAATCGCTTATCGTCGAGAGATCGACTATACGGATTTACGGGCGTCGCGAGACGAGAGGAAAAGGGAATGGACGGAAGGAGGTGAAGCAAGAGGAGAACGATAGGAGGAGGTGAAGTGGGAACCGCATTATTCTTCCGTAACGCGAGCAAGAAGGATGAGGAGTGTCATCGCAACACAATGATAACGACGACGACAAGCAACGTAAAATCGCCGAGTCGCGATGTCGCGCGCGGCAGCGACGTCGTAGTAGTTTCCTCTCTCTATTCGTCCGTAAGGACACCGTGCGCGCATAATCCGATCCTTTGTAAATCGGCCGGACGGGTCGATGGCTATATCGAGTGTTAAGGACTGTCGCTCCTGCCGATATCGCGACGCGGCGGCGGCGGCGGCGGCGGCGGCGACGACGACGGCGACGAGTGAGCGAGCGAGCGTTTCCGCGTGGTCTCGAACGGAAGAGAGTGTAACTGCAGCTAATTGTTAACTGACAGAACAGTGAGTCTTGAGGCATCATGGAAATGTCTTGTTTTTTTCTGTGGATTATAATAAACTATTTTATTCTAACCGCTGGTAACAGTCCTCTCAATCAGTAACCTCTCTCCACTCTCTCCACTCCTTCTCGTGCGCGCATCTGTCACGTGACCCGCGCCGTTGGGGACTACGCGTTTTACAGAACGAACGTACAAACATCTCAGTGTGTCGAGTCCCCCACCTCAAGCACGAGGACAAAGTAGTTGAAGTACGCATTTCTCTTTATTGATTGAATTACAGTTTTCAGTGAGCGCCGCGCTCTCGTACGTTATGTCGAAATCATATCCTGCTGTTACAGAGGACTTGAGGAATTCCTGGCGAGAAGAGGCGAGAACACCGTCTCGCGCCTTGTTCGAGTGTGTTCGCTTCAGCGGCATCAAACGCGCGTCCACGTGAACGCTCCATTGATCGATTAATACAAAAGGCGTAATAAATTACAGAATTAAAGTAAAAGACCTTAGCGTTCTAGTAATATTTGGTCATTTGGTCGTTTTTGTGTAGAGTTAAACGTTAATTCATACTTTTAGCGCGCGCCCGGCACATCGAGCACACACACGCATACGACACGTAATCGTGTATCGTTCCTTCGCCGCACGATCTACAAACAATTTTGTCGTCAACGTACGAGTCCCTCCCGCGGGAGAGGCTCGTTACGATGGTAACTTATATTTTACAGTCCGAACAGCCTAACGAGTCTATATGATACAAAGCGTCGTCGCGCGAGCGGCGATTTTTCTTCGCCCGCGTCGCAACCGTTCGCGGACGATTTACCGCGACATCTACATCATGTTCAGACGAAGGTAATGTTAATACTGCACTTACCAAGATCGTGCCCTAATTCGGGCAGCTGACAACGTTAAAAACACGAACGAAATAAATGCAATCGTTCCAACGAGATAATAGAGATAAACCACCGAGAGTTCGTGCCTTAACAGCAATGATACGCACACATATTTTACTCTCTTCTCTCTCCCTTAAGCACAATCCTTCCGAGATACTGAGAAGTCGACAAGCTTATCGATGACTAAGAAGTGATACGTACGCATGGCATTAGACGGAAGACACTTATCTCAAGCAGTAGATAGATGCTTACTAAACATTTTTAATCAGTCACATTTGTTTGTAGTTATACGTTTCCAATGAACATTGGTTAATCAAGAAAGCAGGAACGTCTTCAAAGCAAACGTCTTCCAGTAACCCCTGAGCGGTAAAGCATCCACGGTGCCGGATGTGTATTTGCCTTCAAAACACTCTGCCTTTCTAACACTCTTCGTGCATTTTGAAGCGATGAGAGAACGTATTTTTTTTTATTAATCCCGAAAGTTAAATCCTCTCATTGGGCATCGGCTGCGTGCTAAACAAGCATCGAGAAAAAAACGCTTACACTCTACTGAAACCAAGTGAAATCAAGTGTATGCCTGAAATTGGAAAAAAAAAAAAAAAAAAATGAAAAGATCATTCTGAAAATGCATTTTACTCTGAACTAAAAGTCCGAAAATTATCATTTTCATCGTAGATACGTCGTATCACTTCTTGGCTATCGTTGTATACCCCGATCGCCGTGACGATCCGACTTTCGAAACGATTTCTCACTGGACAACGAAACACTCCAAACTGGCCTCTTTACGCTGAGTGTTATCCCATGCCCGTGACTGTGTTCACTCGTGATGATGATCCATCGTTTGAAAGAACCACTCCGTAAAACGTCGAAGTTGCTGCGCGGCCGCGTGATTCTCGTCCTTCAGACGGCGGTTCTCGTCCTCCAAGGACTGCCGCATGCTCTCGGATTCGAGCAGACGTCGATTCTCGTCGCGCAGCCGACGCACCTCGTCCTCCAACGACAGTCGCAGACGCGTCTCCCTAACCATTCTCTGCTCGAGAGTGGACAGATGCGACTGCAGGTCCGAGACATTTCTGCGAAACAATTAAACGACGAGTGTAACACATGATCGAAATAAAGAAATGTGTAAAACAAACTGTTGTCAGACTAATGAGCGCATATTAATGACATTGTTCGGGCAGAACGTTCGATGTTCTCGTTAATTTGCGATCATCGAGTACTTACGCATTCGCGTTGTTACCATCGATCAGCCTGTCGTCCGACCATTCTTGAGGATGTTGCTTTGATCTGTTGGAATCCGTGTGTTGGTTCTTCCAACAATCCACGTTCGTGTCGTTGTGATTCTTTACGTCCTTGATCGGTGTTAGATTACTGTGCGCTTTCGAGATGGGATGAAGCGGTTTCGTGACGCGCGGTGATAATCTGGGGAGAAAAATATAGTCACACCGTGTTGTCGAGCAGATCTGAAAATGTATTCTTTATCAAGCAAATTTGTGTGTACTTTCGGACCTTTCCTCTTTCGATAATTTATTTTCGCTTAGCGCCGGGCTCGAGGCAGTGCTGGCATTGGAGATCACCGTCGCTGGTCTGGCCATCGTCAGGATCACCTCCGACCCGTTGTTCCCGTTCTCCTGGCCGTTCGCGGGCAACACGCTCAAGGTGGACGCGCTGTTGCCGCACAGATTCTCCCTGGATCTGCACCGGTTCTGGATCTCCAGCATATTGTTGTTCAGCTTGTTCGAGTTTTGATTGGGGCTCATCACGCTGTTCACGAGGTTGTTGTTGATGATCTGACTGTCGTCGGCGATGTAGTCGGGATTAATCAGTCTCATGAGGTCCTCCTGAAGAGTGCTAGACGTCAAGTTCGCAGAGTTTCTATGCGCGTTCCTCATACCCGGCTTAGGCCGAGGACTCTGGTTCCTCGAGCCGCCGCTGGATGGAGTGCGATTGCCGCCACGATGCTTGTTGGCGCGGCGCAGTCTGGGCGACACGCTGCCCGAGCCGTTCGACAGCTCGTCTTCGCTGGGCAGAGTGGCGACCTCCGGACAATTGACGGCATCCGGTATCCTCACTTCTGGCGGCAGGCTGGTCGGGAAGTCCTTGGTCTGCCGGTACTCGACGTTCACCTTGTGCGGCACCGGTCGCTCCGACATGGTAGTCTTCAGGCAGGTGACTTTCTCGCCCACCTTGAAGTCGTGCGGCATCTCGTACTTGATGGACTCGCGATTGTGCTCGCCAGCGTTGTCGTTGTGCTTCCTTTCGTTGTTAACGTGCTGACACTCGATCTCGTATTTGGCGAGCTCCATATCGTATTTGCTGTTCCTTCTCTCGTAGACGTCTTCGGCATACTCGTAGGCGAGCCTCTTCTCGTGACTCCGTACGTCGTGCTCGTACTTGACCACCGATCGTTCCATCATCTTTTCCTCCTGCAGTTCGTACTTGGAACTCCTGTCCGCTTTCGACGTCTCGTAGTCGTACTTGCCGCCGGACTGCTCGTACTCGTTGTACCTGCCGAGATTGTTGTTGCTGCCCGACTTTGGCAGACTGTACACGGCGTTGTGCGCCAACGGCAGCGAATTCGACGCGCTGAGCTTCTGATGACTGTGGTGCTGCGCGTCGTTCTTGTGGAGCTCTCTCTGAGAAGCGTAGAGATTCTCCTGCTTGATCTCGTACCTCTCCTTCTGCAATTTCACATAGTTGGTCGTCACATGATCCTGCCCGCGATGCGCGTTGTCCAGCTGCCGCTGATAATTCTCGTGACGTGCGTTCTCTTGGAGGATCTTCGACGACACGTAGTTGCTCTCCTTCAGATAATGCTCGTGAACGTGATCGCGATGCTTCGAGCTGTCCGCGAGCTGTTTGGCGCTGATGTAATGGCAACTCTTGTCCTTTTTCTGGGCGGACGCGGGCGTCTTGTTGGGCGTCACCGCTTGATAACTCTGTCGCGCTGGTAACGGCGGCGGCGTACCGTCCGCGCGATGCCCGCCGCTGTCCTGATCCTGCGGTTCTAGGAGCTCGTACCTGGAACAAACGAGCGCTTTGTTTCCTACTATGCGTCGTGCGTTAATTGAGACACCTCCTCTAACACATACACACGTACACGCATACACACATACACACACACGTTCAACGATCGACAGTTTGAAAAATTGAAGCTTGTACGCTCGCGTGTGGTCGTTAATCACGTTGCGTTTCGGGCTCGCGGAAGGATTAATTGTTAGTCACTCACCAACGATCATCGGCACTACTGTGTCCGCTACTGCTGCTAGTCATTGTACCCTCCAACGGAAACCGTGGATCGTTGAACGATCTAGAGCTCGATCCAGTACCGTACCCGGAGCTGTTGCTCGACCGCGGTGGGCTGAACGATCGGTCGTATCGTCTCTGATGCGACATTGCCGTTTGCTGGCTCGGCGTGTTATCCGCGCTAGTCACGTTTTCGTAATCCCCTTCGTAATTAGTCGATAGATATTGGCAGTTTTGCAAAGAGCAGCCTCTGTCGTGCGGGAGAAAAAGATTTTATAATCTCTTCTTTTGTAACATGTAACTGTTCTTCGAGTTGGGACGCCTTTAATTTTTAACGACGTGAGCTAAATTAACCGACTTGACTGAGATTAAGCTGAATATTCACGAGTTCTAAAGTACAATTTTACTTAAGCCAGTACAGCTAAAATATCTCGCTCGAAGCTACATCTATCATCTGTGTACATTCCAGTATCTTAAAAGAAAAAGAAAAAGAAAAAAAAATAAGACACAAGATGAATTAAATTTTTGATTTTCTTATTTATCCAAGAGAAGCGTTAATTTGGATAGGGCTCACCTCCGGGGGTTTCCGTCGTTGTTCGGCGGTATGACGGTGACGGTGACTTGGGCGCTGGTCTTCAGCAGATCGACCATCTGATCGTGACTCAAGGTCGACACGGCCACCTTGCAAATCTCGACCAGCCTGGAGGCCTGCCTCAAGCCCGCCTGCCACGACAGCCCCATACTTTCGACCTGCGTCACGACGCCATCCGGCTGAACGTGGAAGCCCAACTGTCCGAGGCTGTTCCTCTTCAGCGACAGCTCCGAGGCCGGCGCGCCTTGAGTTACGGCGCGCAGCCGGGCCACAATTTCCATTAACTCGTCCCGCTCGCCGTAATCACCGCGTACGTGTATGGTAATGCATTCGCCTTGATGATGATACAATCTTAAACTGGAGCGCAAAGGCAAAAGAAAAAGGTAAAAATGTTAGGCCGCAATTAATCGTCCGATTTCCGATCGATCGGCCGCTCGCGTTTTTACGATGAACGCGATCGTGAATAATGCAGCGAATAAGGCAGTCGCGCATACTGACAAGCGGCAAAAGGAGATTCGATCGAAGACACATCCGGGGGGACTCGCGATGTCGTCATTGAAAAATTCACTCTCAAGGTATAGGCGGACACGCGAGTGTCTCGATTCAACTGATTGGACGTTTCGCGAGAAGTCTGAATGATCACCTGTTGGTCTGAGCGTGCCATCCGAGCACGCTCACGCACGGAGTGACGAATACTATTTGTCTGGAGTGCTCCTCGATCAGCACGATGGTGTCTATGCTTATTCCTAGATAACAATCCGTGTTCTGATTGCTGTCCTCCAGTATGACTTGCCAGCAAATCGCGCCACGCTGAGACGCATCGCAGGAGAGCCTCGGCCGCACTGTCGTCTTCTTCTTACTGCTGAAGGAGAGCATCGCTGTTCCCCGAAAAGGAAGCAACAAACATGTCGATAGAGTAATGCAATTTCACAATTTAGACGAGATTTTAAGTGTCGCTTTTGTTTTCTCTAATTTTAACCGAGAGGAATTTGCCGTGCCCAAAGTGCAACGTACAGAATTTCTGGCCCGTGTCGACGACGGTGGTGGAGGAATAGCTGGTAGCTAGTTCCTTCAAGTATTCCTGCCTCGTCCTGGTGGCCATGGTCGCAAACTTCTCGGACCTGAGGGAAAGCGTATAATCAGCTCGGCTAATTTGATGGGCGTGTAAAAGGCCGACAGGAAAGAACGGCGGGAATACGGTGCTGCTTTACCTGTGAGCTGCATTTTCGGCGTTTATAACCTTCGCCAGAATAAAATCGGCGAATGCCTTTCCCTTCGCGAACGTGGCGCTCTGCGGTACAGGCGGCCCGAAGATGGGCACCTCCTTGCTCCTGGACACTGCCACGCTATACTGCGTGTTGTCGGAGCAAGGATTTATGGCTCTCACGATGATGAATACATGCTGGAACTGGGAGCGTATCCTCCGCGGGCTGAACGGCAGTGCGCCGGGTTCCTGAAGATGTACGATGGTTAGACCATGGAACAACAATTCGCTTGTTTCAAGTCAGTTCTCGATCTCAAAATTTGAAAAAAAAAAAAAAAGGAAAACGGAAGAAAAAAGACTAGGCTGAATTTTAGAAATTCCATCCTTTCCTTCAGAGTTTTGAAAAGATCCTAAATGATTCTGCAGTTCCCTGCAGGTCTTTCAAAACGTTCTAGAAGATTACTCATAACGAAAACCAACTTCAAAATGAGACGAAGAGGCTTTGCGAGAGAAAAGCGGCGGACAAAAGTCCTCCAAAATCTCTCCATATTTTAAATTTTCACAACGGAGGGCTAACTTCACACAGTCCGTTCCGGAAGTATCCGGCTCGAAATTGAAGGGCCCCCCGATCGGGAGGGCGGACGAGTAAATCACGCCGCGAATTCGCATTACGCATTATTCGTCGCCGATATTGGCGCAAAAATTAAATCCCCTGCAGAATGAATCATTCCGAGCACACGGAGACGTAATTACGATGGCTCGCGCTCCGCTCTCAGAGCCGCATAATAAATCAGGCGGACGCAACAGCGAATGCGTCATACGTTTCCGCACATGCGAACGCGGTCGTTATTATTGTCACATTATTGTTACAATTGCGTAATCGGCCGCGGCTTTAATTTGACGCTCGCGGAGCGAGCGAGAGAGAGAGAGAGAGAGAGAGAGAGAGAGAGAGAGAGAGAGAGAGAGAGAGAGAGAGAGAGAGAGAGAGAGAGAGAGAGAGAGAGAGAAAGAGGGAGAGAAAGAAACTGTACCTGAAATACTATCGTGACTATGTCGTTTCCGATGTGCCTCTTCCTCAGCAGCTGTTGACGGTTGTTAGGCGTGAAGGGTAGCATGGTGGACACGTGAAAGGTGACTTCCGCCCCTCGGTGCGTAGCCGCTACCGCGTGCGTACCCGTCGAGTCGGTTCTGGTGTCTAGACCGGCCTTGTAACCCTCGAATCCTCGCAGTCTTATTCTTTGGCCTGTCATGGAAACGTGTAATTATCCCAACTGGCCGGCGCAGCAGCGGCCGTCTCGCGCGACGCGCGTCTTTGGTTTCGTCGGAGGAACGCGTTTTGCAGAGTTGACACGCAGCGTGATCAATCCTGTTTCTCGCCGACTAATTGCACGTGTTACGCGTTGCCAATGAGCAAAGCGGATCTGTTCGCGGCGGGAGTGATTGGACGAATTGTCGAGGTGAACATGAGACACGAGAGGAGGATCCGCCGGTGCTTGGTCACACGCATTTTTAAGGAGACATTTTTAAGGAGAGCGATAAGGCAAAGTTATGTAGGATCTAGGAGATCCTTGGTGGATAGGTAGCTCGTTTCGCAGGATCGTGCGACAGTTTACGCCGTCTGCGTAATAATCGTGTGCTCGCGGGCGAAGACGCGATAATCATCAGCCTGACGGCCGCGTGTAATGCAACGACGAGCGGCGAGAGGAAAAAAGAGCGGGACGCGCGCGTTTCTCTTTTAGAGAAAGCGATAGTAAACCGTAAATATATAAAGATAAGCAAAGGCGATCGTAGTAAACGCCTGGAACGGGACTCGCGGGACCCGCGCGCAACGACCGCGAAGTGATCCGCGCGTTCGCGGATGATTAGCGTTACGAACGCGCGCGGTAAAATCATTCCGGGGCGTTGAATCGGCTAAGCGCCGATAAAACGATGCAAACTATCTGCGAACCGTCTGTGAACATCGTGTTCTAAATCGCGCTTCCGACTGCTTTATTCCCGGCGTTTACGACGGCGCGCGGTTTAATCGATTTCTCTCCGACTAGCGAATTTTCCGACTCACTGAGCTTCTCTCGCCCGAGCACGCTAACGAATCATGCATTAACACGTGTATTCGGAACTTTCCAAGTTTTCTCCAGGAGAAAACAACGAAATCCGTATCTCCTGATATGCAGGGTAAACGGAAAACGGCCCGAAACGGGGGGCGCGCAGTCGACTCTTTCTTCTCAACCCTTTCGATACGGCAGGATATACGTAGAGTTACTCAGTGGTCAAGGATAACAGTCACGAGGACACTTATGCGCGAAACATAAGTTACGTCTTCTGCGACAACGATATCATGTAATCGATATGTCTAACAATTGCAAAAGAAAATTTATTTTGAAATATAAAGCACTTTGAGAGTCTCGATTAGCGACCAGGTAACTTCACCGTGAAAGTAAATTAACAAATTGACAATGTACGCGTTGAGTGTACAAAGATGCTTTTGTTGGAAACAAGTCGAACGTTGATGAGCGGCTGCCGATTATCGTCGACGCTCGTACCGAAAAAACTAATAATTTTTCGTTCGCATAAGAATCGTGCAGAAGAACAAGCAGTGACGTACCGATGGTGTCCAGGAACTCCAGGAAGGCTGGGCCGGCATGTTGATTGTTGTACATTTCCTCCTCGGTCCTCTGGCCGGATCGGCAGTACAGCACGCCGACCTTGTACCTGTTGGACAGTCCTTGCTCGTCCAATCTCGCCAGCGCTTCCTCGGCGGCGGGCGTGCCGAGCCTCAAGCACCCTAACTGCACCTCCGGCGCGACCAGCTCCAGGAGCTCCCTCGTGGGCGGCCGACCCCCTTGGAGCCTGATCCCCAGAGCTTCCTCTGGCACGGAACCACGAAGTGTCAACAGCTCCGACGTACGCACGATCACGCGGTACTGACTGACGTCCTTGCGGATGCTGATGGCCACCGGACCCAGCTGTTCGTCCATGCCGAACCAGTTTTGATGATCTCGTCCTGCGACAGGATATTTCCTTGCTGTTTCATGTTGCGTCTGTGACTGCACTCTTTCGTGCAAAGTGACAGTAATAATTGTCTCCCCTCCTCATCTATTGTCTAATAATTTCACCAATTTCTGTTTCTCTCGCTCTCAAGTTTAAAAATTAAATTAAAGGATAAAGGTCTTCCAATTAATTCGACGTGAAGTTACAAAAGTGACTGCATCCGTAAAGGATTTCCCTGCGGTTGGTAACGCCGCAACACGGGATCCAGGTATGTAGAAACCGATGTATCTTCGACGTAACGAGCGAAAATCGTTTATGTAACGCGATAAAAAAAAATTCGCATGAGCCGGCGCATCTTCGTTCACTCACCGAGGAAGTATCGCCGGTAATAATGGGCCCCCTCGTCGACGCTCTCGATGGGAAGCGACCGCTTCTGCAGCGGGCAAGTGTGCTTCCACAGGGTCTCGCCGGGCTGCGGCTCCAGGACGGAGACCCCGTAGGATAGTGACGGTCTATGAATCCCGTTGCCGTGGGAGCAGCGAGTGAGACCGACCTCGCGTTCCCCCTCGCCGCCGATCTCGTTGCGGAAGAAGGGACACGGCTCCAGCAAGTCGTTACCTGAAACCGTCAGCGAGAGGTGAAACTGTCACCTTTCTCAGAGGAACAGCGAGCAATTTCGCAATTTTTCCCGTCGCACGTAACGTAATCACGATTCGAGTGGATTTGCGAGGAATTTCAATCCTGGCTGTTCTAAGAAGATCGTATCTAACACTAGTTGGATTTTATACAATTACATATAAATTTCAATAAACAAGTTCTCAAGATAGCAGGATAAGAGTTGCTCAACTTGAGATCAAGAGCGTTACTGTGTATCGCAAAGAGATGATACAAAAAGATGGTTATTTAATTACGTAGGCAGTCTGAAAAGTTCTCGGCCTAACAATGAAAGGAAATTGTTTTTGCGCCGTGAAATATGTTTTATTTTCCAATATAATCTCCTGAAACTTCAATATATTTATTCCAACGTTTTTCCAATAATTCAATACCATTATTAAAGTGTGATTCCGGAAGGTCTGCGAAATATCCATCCACGGCTGCGATAGCTTCGTCATTTGATGTAAAACGCTTTCCAGCCAGGAATTTTGTCAGGTTTGGAAACTGATAATAGTCAGAGGCCAGAGAGCCAAATCTGGTGAATACGCTGGATGTTCAAGCAATTCGTACTTTAATTCGTTGAATTTTGCCATTGTCAAAACACTTGTGTGAACACGTGCATTGTCTTGATGGGAAACGATTCTTTTCTTCTTTAAAGCAGGTCTTTTCTCACGAATTTTTGCATCCAATATAATAAATAGATCCAAAAGGTTACAATAATATTCAGAGTTAATCGTTTTATCTTTCTGAAGATAATCGATCAACAAAACACCTTTGTAATCCCAAAAACCTGTTGCCATAACCTTTCCTGCTGATGAAACCGCCTGTGCCTTCTTTGGTGCACGTCCACCGGCTTCGATCCATTGTTTCGACTGTTCTTTTCGCTCTGGTGTATAGTGGTGGATCCAAGTTTCATCAACAGTTATGAAACGACGCTTGAAATCCATTTTATTTTGCTTAAAACAATTAAAATGTGCCAAACATGCTTGAGAAATACGCATTCGAATGCGTTTTTGGTCAATTGTTAGCAAATGCGGCACCCATCTTGCACAAAGCTTTTTCATATGTAATTCTTCATGCAAAATATTTCCAATTCGTTTTTTCGAGATGCCTATGACCTCAGCTATTTCACGCATTTTCACTCGCCGATCATCTAACACCATATCATGGACTTGTTGAATGTTTTGTGGTGTTGTAGCAGTTTTTGGACATCGCGTGGATCATCTTCGAGGCTTGTACAACCAGATTTAAAAAGAGCAGCCCATTTTTTCACAGTGGAAAGTGAAGGTGATGCATCCTTATACACTTTTAACAATTTCGGATGAATTTCTGTTGGTGTTAAACCATCCAAAACAAAGAATTTAATCACTGCACGATATTCAATTTTTTCCATTTTAAAAAAGACAATGATAGGTCAATATTAAACTGGTGCTACTACTCGAATGACTTGACAGATCGAATTAAAATTTTACATGGGTTTATATCAGGGATGCCACTTTCCAATACAATTATAGTTTGACAGTTTCTAATGCCATCTATGTGTCAGGCCGAGAACTTTTCAGACTGCCCTCGTACCTAGTACGTCAAATTGGATTATTTTGATACATCAGGTATTTGCGAAATATTATTAAAAAATAAGACATTAAAATATTAGATCAATGCAGAAGTTTTGACGGGTTTCTCGAAGATGTTGTAGGCGACACAGTTTTACGATAGCACTTGCATTGATGTAAACGTATAATGTATCAAAAATTGCTTTAATGAAGTTACTTTTAGCCCGCAAGTTGTTCCATTACGAAATCCATCGAAACTTTTGCACTCACCCAGCAGAATTTCAACAGAATGAAGAAAAAAATGACCCGATTTATACGACTATACGATCTAACTCTTCTCTTAGATTTACATCAACCTATTTCTCGAAAGCACACCTTTCCCATCACCGGCGTCCTCTTCGGGAGCTTCGTCGGGGGTGGAGGCTCTCAGTGCGCTGGCGGCGGACGCACCGGTAGCTGTGTTTCTTCTCCTGGCCAAGAGGATCCCGCGGAGCTTGGCGGCGTAGCCCAAGTTCGCCGTGAGCGACTGACAGTCGTAGTGGGCGAACGCTCGTCTTCGATGCCGCTCCTCCACGTCGGCCGACACCATTGTGCTGCTAGTGCACGTCTCCTCCATCGCTCGCGGCGGCTTGCTGCCCCACAGTCTGTTCAGCTTGAGCCGCAACTTCGGACTAGAGCCGGCGCCGGTCGGGCCGCAGACCTCGTCGACGTCAACGAGCGGCTGGGCTCCGTCCTGGTGAACGCGACGCAGATAGTCGCCGGTGACCCCGCCGCGCTGTTCCGGCGGTCGGAAGTCCTGCAGTATAGCGAGGAAGTTCTCGCCGGCCGTGACAGACTGAGCCACTATGTCGATACTCCCTGCGATAGATTGGATTGAAATTGGTTCAAATTGGGAGTAATCATTTCGATTGAAAGTGCGTTTACACGCCGAGGTAGATTGGTCTCTTCGTTAAAATAAAATACCAAAGCGGGAGTTGTCGAAGAAACGTTAAACGCCGAGTCGAGCAGTCTCGTGAAATTTCTTATCGCAAACACGCTGGTAAAATTGTCCCTTTCGTTCGTTCAACTGAGCAAAGCAAGAGAAGCAACGATGTTCCATAACGATAACGTTGTAACAACGGTCTCGCCTCGCTTAAAAGAATTCTTGCAAGACCGTAGTTTCTTCATTGTGATGAAGATTCATGATCTCGAGATTTTGAGAAACTAGCGGGCCACGCTCGTACCGTGAGATCCATACTCCCTCCTCAGAGGAGTCTCTGGCACCCGGGACGTGGGATCCGGACTATGCGGGAGCTCCAAACTGGAGTTGGACCTATGCAAGGCCAATCCACGACCCACACGGCTCACCGGGCCTCCGCTGCCGCCGCCGCCGTTGATTGGCAGGCTCGCGATCATCTCTTCATT